TGCCACTGCATTTAAATGAAATTACAGGGGTGATAATGAGGAAAGTGTTGGCTAAACCCTTGCACTGCTGTGTCCTGAGCAATTCTAAGCAGGAGGCTGTGCTATATGGTTGCTTTCTTATACATTCACGTATACACACCACTGATTTTATTTATGCTGGCATTATTGGTGCTTGTAGCAGAGTTGAGACTTAAGGAAGCAAGGGGAGTACTTTAAGTAATAGAGAAGAGACATCTGGCAACGCTGCAATTTTTGTGGTTACTTAAGAGCCTGACGTGTGGGTGCTGGTGCAGTGAGTAGTAGTAGCGGTGCCGTCAGTAGTACCTATATCCTGCCTTTCTTAGGGCCTCTCACATCTGCTCTGCCACTCAGTTTATGGATCCCAGAATTTGGGTTCAGGAGGTGGCTCTAGGGTTAAGGCATCAAGAGAGCTGGCTTTAGGGTTGAGGCATCTACTCCTTTGTCTTCTCCGTGGTGTAAAAAGAGAAATCCTGCTTTGGTTCCTCTGGCATCTTCCATGGTTATAGCTAAAAAGAGCAGACCTGCTTAGGACGCTGGGTTTTTTTTTTGTGCCTGACAAAGCAGAAACTCTGTTCCTTGCAGCTTGTTCTTTTGTGTATGCATTTATGGTTAGTTTGTTCCTTCGGAGGGTTATGGGGAGGGCAGTGGATTGGCTTTATGGGAAGGGGTTATGACTTTAGTGCAGTTCCATGTGAACTGGGCAGAACTCATGCAGTAGTTGCGTGGATCAGGTAGTGAAAAGGTGAATGCAATCACTGTGCTTTGGGCCATCGGGGGCGATTAATCCTGCCCATCCACATAAAACCAAGTCTAATTCATCTTCTAGGATCCTCCTGCAGTGTAGGGGAAGAGGTAAGCTGTTACAAAGGTGATGTATCCCAACCTAAAATAGGCAGCAGCTCTGAGGGATGGTTCAACCTGCATCCTGCCTGGATAGCCCCATGCTCTCCACCGTTGAAATGCCTCTGTTCTGCTCAAGGGACGAACTGTCTCTTTGTGTGATGCTTGCAGAGCGCTGGCCTTTGAGCAAGCTGGAGGAGCACTCTAGTATCAGAGACATTGTCTTTTTCAGTCTGCGGGTGCTCTGTATTATTTCCTTTTTCTCTGATCAGAGCTTTCTAAAGGGCACTTGTGTGCTGAATACCTGTTGCTGATAATGCACATTATGAAATCTGAAAGGAAGGCTGAGATTAAATGCCACACACTTCACACTAGGAGAATTCCGAGTGTCTTGTTGATCTGTGTATGATTCCAGGGTTGACAGCTTGGGCATACACAAACCTGCACGTACACATACGTATATGCATGCATAGTTTTTTTTTTTTTTTTTTGTGTCTTTCCCTCCACACACTAAGCAGCGAATAACAGCAAAGTCAGCTTCCTATGAGCTGCAGGAGATTGTATCGTCGTGGGTTTTTCAGGGCTGGTTGTACTAAGAACCACCAAGGCTAATAAGATCTGATCTTGGTAGCGACGATGGCTTCTCCTACACCTTCTACCCTTGTGGTACGGCACTGAGCTGTGGCTATCTTGGTTTTCATCTGTGTGGGTGTTAACCTGACCACAGGGATCTTCTGAGAGTTGCCGGCATGTGGAAAGGCTGTATTGATATGAGGTTTACCCCAAGGTTTCTAGAATGCTTTTCCCTGCCAGCAGTGAATGAAGACAGACAGAAAAAAATGATGCCCTGCTAAGCTGGCTGTTCCTGCGGCCGGGAAGGGCATTCCTGGCGCTGACAGGTAGTGTGCAGCGAGCGAGGCACCACGTGGGCGTTCGCAGCCTTGCTCAGCAGCACAGATGTCTGGCGAGCGGGCAGCCAGCCAGAGCAGTGGGTGCAGCGTGGGGGATTCGGCTTGCAAATGTCACTGCTGCTGAGCAGGGGTGAGGGCAGCTTAGGCAGAAGGCATATTCTTAACAGAAAAGCTGGGAAAAGTGTAGTGCAGGAGGTTGGGTGGCCTGGTCGTGCTGGTGAGGAAGCACAGCAGCAGTGCCAAAAGCGGAGTCCAAGTTTTTGGGCTCTATTCTGTAAACTAAACAGTACTGCTCCTGGAAACAGCTGGTTTAGTTTCCAGGTGCGCTGCTGCCGAAGGAAGCACTGCTCCGTGCTCTTGGCTCTGCAGGATGCCACTGGCCGGTGCTCCGGAGCAATCCCTGCCCTGCTCTGAGCATCAGCCCCTGTCCGCTCTGTGGCAGTTTCTGCTAAGTCATTTGGTTCCCCTGACTTGCAAATTCGTGAAGCCTGTGCTTGCTCTCTTCCCACGTCATCAGCATGTGGAAGTTTCCCTTTTCTAATTCTGCCCTTGTGTCTTTGGTTTGCCCAACCTGTGAGATTTTGCGTCTGTTATTTTTAGCATTAACCTGTTTCTATAGAAACCAAGGTGTCGAGACGACTTCTGCCACCTGAGGATAGGCTACAAACTAGTCGAAGCACGTGTTTTGTTGTAGACCTTTCCCACAGCATTTTTGCTGAGCAGCTCCCAGGGCCTCTCTCCAAATCTGTGCTTACTTTGAGATAAGGAGCCTGAGGAGGTGGGGGGTTGAACTTGGACTTGTGGCTGAGCACAAATGACCAACGCTTAATACTGGCAAATCTGGGGAGGAGATAAGAATGTGTTTCCAAGATGTAAGATGACATGTCAAGAAGTGCTGTGTATGGTCATCAGCAGAGCTAAGAGAGGAAGGCTGGTATCTGTACATATTCTGTGGTTTATGGTAAACATAGAAGCTGGAATCACAGCCCTCTAACCTCCCAAAATAGGGAGTCCATGATAAGCTGCTCTCTATGGTCATTACCCCTCCCATGTGACTAAGAATACTTGTCTGAGCTGGCAGTCTAAATTGTCCTTAGTAAATGTTCTTAAAAGGTAATTATCATGGAGCAGGACCCTAAGCAGCTCTACCTCCCTTCTCTTTCCAGGCGCAATCTGTAGTCTCCTGAAATTTGGATCTAGGCTCCAAACCTGTGGCTCAGCTCCTAACAGATGGGAAGCTGAGAGTGATGATAAGTTTATAACAGACCTGTTGCTTGTTAGTGGGGGGGAGGGAGTTATTGATGTCACCTTTGCAAGTTGGAAAAAATTGACAAAAATTGTGTCAGTAGTAGAAAAGATTGGAAAACTTTAGCTCGTAGGCAGGCTAAGGACAGGCTCTGGTGTCTCTGCAAATTGCCACATAACTAAGTGACGACTGTGAATTTCCGCATGGTTCTGCATAGGCCTCGCTGTATTTTCTTAGCTCCCAAGGATGAGTGACAACTTGGTCAATGACAGGTGGACAAAGGGGACTTTTCATATTGGGTCCGAGTAAAGTGGGCCAAATTTTACTACTGGCACTTCAAACAGCTCAAGTCCTTTGGAGACTCTTAAGGGTATGAGTATGGGGCTTAGAAAACATCCTGATTTGACCGAAAGGCAATTTTCCTGTTTAATGCAAATGTATTCCTCTGCTCTCCCCTTTGCCCCTTGTGTGTGCCTAGACTGCATATCTGGCCATATAACAAGCGAATAGGAGGCCTTTGTTTAAAAAAATAATAAAAGGAAAAAAAAATCTCATGGTTTAAGAGCATTCTAAAGCAGCTATCTTCAGGAGAGAGACAGCAAATGCAGCATGATACAGGGAACAAATCTGTTCCTGGGATGCAGGAATGGCAAAGCCTCATTTCATTTTCTGTGTTTGTGGCTACTTTGGTAGCTAATAAATTGCTGTACGTGCATGTACTCAGCAAGTTACTGAATTGCAGATGTCGGAATACGGTGGTTGATGTAGTTTTTATGGATTCAGGTAAGTATATATCAAAAATTGTTTTGGAAACAATCTCTAGGAAGGTATGAAGGGGGACACTGTAGTCTTGCGTGGTCAAGGGCATTGAATCTTCTCTAATGATTCCTTACAATTTCCTCCTTTAGCTCTGGAAAGAGCCAGAGGTGGAAGATTCTCGGGAATGAGGAGCACAAGCTTCTTGGAGAACTTGTGAAAGAAATAGTCAAGTGTTTGGGGTATGGTGTAAAGGAAACCAGAGTAGCTTTGACATTATCAGTGGAAGAAGTGCCCAGAAGACCCGTGTTGCTGTCACGATCCGATATTGTGCAGTTCACTAGCTGTTAGAGCATGGTCATGGGTAAGATAGTGCTTTCCCTGCAGCCCCAGGGTTATTTTCTGCAAAATTTTTGAGCTTCTGCAATTCTCAGGCGTGAGCAAGAGGAGAAGGAGCAGATTTGTGTCAGACTTTTTGCAAAGCTCACCTCTGTTACCCTGCTGGTGCAGGGGATGCCCCTGGCCTCCTAAAGCCGCGCTCTCGCAGCAGGGTGTGGGGCGACTTCTTTTACAGCTTGTCTCCCACTGTCCGCCTCCGCTCCCTGCAGAAGCCGTCTGCAGGACAGATGGCCTGTGCCACTTCTGGGACCGTCTTCCACAAACACCTGCCTGTGGCAGCTGGGAGATTGAAGAGCCCTTCTCCTTTAATGCCCTCACAGGGAAACAGTGCATGTTCCTGATGCTTTCCCGCTGAGTTTCCTCCTCTCCGCAGCCTCCCGGCTCCTGCGTGCCCTGGGGAGCTTCAGTGCGTGGGGTGCTCTGCTAATGATACCTGACTCATAGGATGATCCGCAGCCGAGTAAGTCGGAGTGCTCTGCCACACGAGGGGAGCCGGTTCCCTGCGCTGCTGCTCCCCGGCCTCTGCCCACAGGCTGGTGCTCGCCGGCCGCCGAGCCGAGGCGGATGAGCCGGCGAGGCCGCGATGCCCGTGCCTGGCGTGGCGGCCCAGCCAATTACTGAGGCAATGAGCTGGATGCTGCCTCTGCTTTGAGACCGGCAGCGCGGCTGCTTGAGTCACCGGGGAGAGCTGCGGTGGTTCTGCGCTGACGGATGGATGGCTGCAGCGAGCTCGGGGCCGAGCACCGTGCCGTGAGGGAGGAGGACGGAGGGGAATTGACTTTCTTGTGGAAATAATGCCTGGGGACTGGAGCCACCAAAGCAGCAGATTGCATCTTGCATCCTTTTATCTGCACAACTAAATCCTCTTCCCTCAGCAGGGAGGGACAAGCAGGCAACTTCATGATAAAGCGGGTTAGCGTGGCCAAGCGCGCACTGCACGTGCATGTGTGCATGCGTGTGCCTGCGTGCCAAGGCAGCTCACGGGCTGCCTTGAGCCCACGGAGGTAGGGCGAACCTGCGTGGGCATGGGGCGCCCTGCGTGGGCATGGGGCGCCCTGCGTGGGCATGGGGCGCCCTGCGTGGGCATGGGGCGCCCTGCGTGCAGCGGTGGTCCCCGTGGGGCAGGGCACCTGGCCGAGCACGCTGGGCGCGTTGCTGGCCGCCCCGCGTGGTGCCGCGAGCGCGCGGGCCGGGCTTGGTGTCTCGCTGCAGGTGGGGTTAGCAGGCTGGTAGAAATGCGGTTGCTGTGTGTTTAATTATAGCTCTAGGCTGAGAAACTAATAGCGCGATGGAGGTTTTCAATCCGGTTCTGGGGAAGCTGAACACTTTGTAGTTCTCGAGCGTTGTATAACACTGCCTGCAACATGGGAGGAAGTTTTCCTGTTCAGTGTGCACAGAGAAACTGGAAACTTCAGGGGTGTGAAACCTTTGAGCTGGGACACCTCCCAGCCACTACAGTGTGGCCTTGGAGCATGATGCAGGGGAAGGGGTGGAAAAAATTACGAATATAAATTGTTCCGGGACTAGGATTCCTCTAGTCAGAAAGCAGAGGAGAAACTTGCAGCCTCAGCAATTATTTTATGCTAAGCCCTTGTAATGACTGTGCAGGCTGTGTTGGGTAGAGAAATGCTTCCCTGCCCCATCAGGATTCAGAAAGTGTCACTGAAAATCACCTGCAGTGATGATCTTGTGAATGAGCTAAGTGTTGAGAGGATGTTTTTGTCTTGCAATTCCTCACCGCAGAGCTATTTCTGTTGCGTCAGCCACTTCCTGCTCTCCCTGCCACTCTGGCCCCTCTGTTTGCAGAGGGGTGTGGGGAAGGGCTTTGCGTCCTCAAGGTGCTTCTCTGAGCTGTGGCTCCGTCAATGATCCCCCTTTTCTCCTTGCATCCCAGTCTTCTGTATGCAGGCAGTGCACAGTGGGGGAATGGATTCAGGCAACTCCCTTGTAGCTCTGTCTTCACGCACAATTTCCCTCACTTCTCTTTAGAGGGAGATGTGGGGACAGTATGATGGTTTCCTAATACCATTACATTCATTTTCTCTGCTTGTTCCCCGCTTCAGGGGAGAACTGCAGCAAAGTGCAAAGCAGCGGGATGTGAGATGGCCACGCAGCTCTTGCTGTGGAGCCCGGGGGCAGGAGCGGCAACATGAGCAACGTGCAGGGGACATGGCAGAGCGGGAGATCCCGGGGGAGAGGACTGGGATGGTGCAGGGAGCTGAGCGTGCCCAGATTACATGGGCATTGGCTGTATCACTAACACAAACTGTGTGGATGGGCAGAGGAGAGCAGGGAAGTCATGGAAAGGCTAGGATAGTACCCTGCAAACAGATCTTTTGATGTCGAGTTTTGTCTGATTTATTGCTGATGTGTAGCGGTCCAGAGAGGTGAGGTGCTGGAGGTCAAGCGTGTAGGTCCGTAGCCTTTTTCCTGACATGCTCCAGGTAGGACACTGTCCCTGTACTGGTTTGTATTTGGGAAGTGAACCTCCATCCAGAGACATTCCTGCTGGTGTTGCCAAGGGACTGGAAGGGCAGTCAATTGACTGTGTGGGAGAGGAGTCCACATCGCTGGCTTCTTATCGGTAAGAGAGGTATCCCAGTTAGGTGTGTAGACTGTGCCACACTGAACCTGAGGGACGGCCACGTTGTGCTGCCGTGGTGGCTCTGTGCTAGTTGTTTTTACTGCCTCAACATGCAATCATTTCCAACTAGATCAGGTTACCTCAGAATGTCTCTCTGAGGCATCCTGGCCGCTTCAGAAGAGTGTTCCTCTACTTTAAGACCAATTTCTCAATTTTCTAGCGTGGAGAATTAATTCCCCTCATCCAGGGCGTGGGCTGGAGCCTGTTCTTCCAGCAATAAATGCAGATGATACTGTTTGAAGACGTATTGGTAGCCCTTGGTAGCTACCTGAGATTTGGGGACAGTCTCTGCCACAGGCATCCTGTGCAAATTTTTAGTATTCTATTTGGATAAGATCCACAGGGATGCTTCACAGCTCTCCAGCGTGTACTTCAGTGGGTTTTGCAGATGGAGTTTGCTTTAACCATTAGGCATTTCAGAGTGCTTAAATGTTTCAAATTGTTAACCAAGAGATATCCAGCATGTAAGTGAGTGGACTGAGGGGGGGGGGGGAAAGGAGCCTTGTGAATGCCATTCCCTTTAGGTAACAAAGGGGTGTCTGTGAGAGCTGAGGGACTTGCTACCTCTGCGGGTTGTATCTCCTGGGGTTTGCAGAGTGGGGATCTTGTCCTTCTGTAAGGCAGAGGGCTGCTGTGTGGAAGGATTATGAGACATTGAGATAATCCAGCATTGAGCTTCTTGGAAAAGAAGACAAGGGGTGTCTGGCTGCAAATAACTTTCTGTGTATTATCTGTCCTTTTGTGATCAGCCCTATTCTTTTAGCAGTGTTCTGACTTCTGCCTTTGCCCTGCAGACGTGCTTGAGCCAAGACTTCCTTTTATCTCAGTGGCCGCGCTGCTCTGGGGGCATCGTGCTGTGAACCTGGCGTTCCCATTGCTTTCAAGTGTTGGGGAAGGGACAGTCAGATGTTGGGAATGACAACGGAGGAGCTGGCGAGTGCAGTGCTGCTGCTGGGGCCCACAGCTGGGCAGCAGCCCTGCTCCGTGGTGCTCTTGCACTCCGGAGCACCTCTCCTTTCCTGATGTCCTTAGCCACTAGGCTGGGAGGGAGGCCGTGGTGCCGAGGGAAGAGCTGTGGAGGTGGCAGAGATGGAGCTATCTGTAGTGTGGCACCGGTGAGGGTGCTTTGCACCAGTAAGCAGGAGCTTTCAAAACCAAACACAATATGCTGAACAGAGCTGAGTGAGGAGAGACACTGAAAAGAAGAAAGGGGACTTCAGAGGAAAAAAGCCCTTTTATTTGCATCTAGGCGCTGCCCATCACTGAAAGCTGCGTAGGAATAGGAAACACCTGCATGTGGTGATTGATCTGTGCAGCCATTGGGATGCTTAGAGAAAGGATTAAGGAGAAAAGAATCGCTGGAGGAGGAGGAGGTGGAAGTTTTCTTTTGAAAATGCACAAGGCTAATAGAAAACATCCTCTAATTTCTCAGTGTGTCAGGATACATTAATGTAAGTATGAAGTTTTCTAATCCTTTGCATTCTCTATCAGAATGTCATTAAATTAGCACTAATGCATGTGTTAGCTCATTATTAATATTCAGTGTTCATTAGACCAGCTCTTTCTCTGGAAAATGGAGATAATGAGATGCAGGATTTGATTCTGGGCCATGCCACAGCTGTGCTTAGCACAGCGGGAGTGTGGTTTCATGTATCAGAATGGCCTTCACTGAGCATTTTATTGGCATTTTATCTGGCCTACATAGTCCTGGCTTTTGGCCAATGGTTTGCCACAAATGAGTGGAAATTCTTAATGGGGGAGCAGTACTAATGATGGTGATGGATAAATTTCCAACTCTTGGCCTGAAGGCAACTGGTGAGACAGCTGATAAAGCAAACTTTTGATCTTTTGGCCTGTGGTTAGAGTGGAAAAACTGCCTTCGAAACCAGTGGTGTTTTTCTATGCCTTAGTCTGCGAATCATCAAGTCCTCTTTTAACCCCAACCAGCTTGCTTTACCACTTGCCCTTAAGAGATTCTCTAGGTCTTGAGATGTCTCCTCTAGGTCTTGAGATGCCAGAGTCTGTGGTCATGAAGAGGGCAGAGCCGAGCGTATAGACAGCCAGCCTTGCTGGGAGGGTGCTGGGAAGTGGTGTCAGACTGGTGTTGTGTAGACAGCAAACTTGGCATCCCAGGTGCTTCAGCAAGCTTGAAGGCTTTGGTCCCTGTGGAGGGGACCATAGAGTGGTGCTGTGGCTCAGGGTAAGTAAGGAAGGTGTCCGAAAGAGAAATGTTCCTTTTGAGTTGAACTGGTTAGGTTATTTTTGATTGGAAAAGCTGAGCTGCAAGTATCACATAACTTTCTCTGATTTTAGCAGCAGAGGGGTTCTGGGGGAAAAACACTTGGTATCCAAGTTTAGCATCTTGGGGCCTCCCAAGAACAGAAGGGATTGCAGGAATTGCAGTAGAAGAATTTTAAAAGAGGTCAAGTTTTCTTTCTTTCTTTTTTTTAATGCATCATTGTAGGTTTTGAGGGCAGATTTGTTAATAGGAGTGCACACCAGTTATTGTGACAATGTGAGTTAGCAGAAGACAAACAAGTTAATTCATCCAACTTTTTTACAAGTGACTACCTTTTGAGCTTCTTGCCTTGCATGCTGGTGTAGGAATGAGTTTGCAGTTTCCCTCTTCAGTTGTCATTCAAGCCAAGACAAAACCTGTGCAAAGCCCTAAGGAACTGAACTGCTCGCTGAGAAGCATTATGCCTGTGGTCTGCACAGAGCATTTTGTTAAACCTTTGAGAACAGGATGCAGTCTCCTTGCATTGTCTCAACAAAACCTCATAGACTTATGTTACAGAAGTTGCGTTGGTGCCCTTTGGATATTTTCAGAAAGAGTTATGTGCTCTTGGATGGACAACCATCTGAAAGAGGATGCTATTCCAGGGAGCGGGAAATCCCTTGCAGGGGAGTGGGAGTATGCTTCCATGCACGATGCCAGAATAACCTCTCATTTCCGTGCTCTCTGAGGACCCATAAACTCTTTTGGCATGAGTGTAAATTCTGTTCTCCTGGGACAGCCATGGGAAAACTTGGTCGGCGTGAGGGATTGCCGGTGCTGGAGCTCTGGCCTTTCATGGACTGGATGAGCTGCTTGGTGCCTTTGGAAAGTTCTTTTCTGGGATTCTTGGATAATGAAGTGGCAAATGAAAAAATGCTCAACTGAGTCAAGAGGAAGTATAAGATACATTGGAAAGAAGGACTTTCTGAACTGAGGTTTTCTGAGCTGTTTTGATTGAAGGATCTTTGAGTAATTTCACTGGATACTAGACATCTCTTCCATTACACCATACTAACACACAAGTTATCTTTTCTGACTTCTGAAAATTTGATCTTGTTCTTATCTTAGCTGTTATTTCCTCATTCTGTTTGCTATTGCCTTCCGTTTCCCCCAAAGCAGCATGGTGTCAAGGAGGAACTTGCATCTGATTACTTGTAGTCCTAGGGCTGGTATGCACTGGCAGATGGGGGCTGCAGGATCCTAGTGGTGGGGAAATTAAAACAAAGCAAACAAATGTCTGGGAGTTGTGTTATATTTGGCTTGAAATGGAGAAGAACAAGATGCAAAGTGTCATTTAGTGACTCCTAGTCTGAAAAAATATTTAAGAGGTACCATACTCCTGACGGGCCTGGCCTTTGCCTTATGCTGGGGTAGGCCAGACTGTGGTTTATAGATGAAAAACCTCTGTAGCATTTATCAGTGAAATTTGTGGCTGTCATAGTGTTTAATGAGCGTGAGGATGGAAAAGGGCAGCGTGTAGTGTTGCTACTTTTATTTCTTAGCAGGCACTTCATAGCTTTGTGAAAAATGAAGCCTGTTAGTTGCCCTGCTTCATGAAAGAGGGAAAACAATTGCAAAGGGACAGGTGGTGGGACAGATGGAAATCCAGAGACGGTATTTTTCTGGGCTGTTGCCTTTAAGGCTAAATGTGACTGTTAAGTCATTTGTCTACCCCTTTTATCTCTTTGTTACTAGTTTCAAGTCACCAGCTTGATGGTGACTTTTTATTTATTTATTTTTTTAAACCTCTGGTGAGTCTTTCTCTGCCTGCATCACTGGCCACTTGCAAAACCAGCTTTGCCCAAAGTCAAATATCTTGCCTGAAGCCCAGGAGCTGCCTGGTCTCACCAGTGTGGTTGATGCCTTCCCTTTGGCCCCAAAGACTCGAGAGAAGGAAAGACCAGGAGCCTATGAGGAGTGGGTATCTGGGGTATCTGTTGTGAGGCTCCTGGATGCCAGGCTAAAAATGTTGCTCTGATTTTTCTTTGACAGATTGTGGTGACAACAGATTTCTTCCCTCTGGACTAGAGAAGGTCTCCAGACATGTTGAAATGAGTTGTTTGCAGGGACCTACAAGCGCTGCGTTGTAGCCTGGCGCCGATTTGAACACGAGGCCTCCCCAGCGCTCAGCCAGCAAGGGAAGTGCTTGGAAAGATGAAGAGCTGTCTGCTGGCATAACAGGAAGTTTTTGTTTTTCAAGCCTTGTGAAGTTTCACGTGGTGGCAAAGACGTTTCCTGCCTGCTTTTTTCAAATACACACAAAAAACGCCCTGTACCAAGAGCGAAAGGCTATCCACCATCAAGGTGAGACAGCGGAGGAGATGGTGGGGCGCAGGACGTCCTTATCTGCAGCCTGCCTGGAGCACCAGGAGCGGGACATGCTCCTTCATAAGGACCATGTAGACAGCCTAGCCAGGGCATTGCCCTGGCCGGGTTCCCGTCCGCCTGTCTTTCAACAAGGTGGATGTCAAGCAGATAGCAAAGCTCTCCCTGCTGCTATAATTGGGAAGATAAAAGCACACAGAGCAGAGGTTTAACTGGAGAAGCTGTGAAAAGTGCATTTTAAGTTGTAGATATTTGATGGATTTTTCAGACACTTTGGCTGCTGTATGAGAGAAATTCTGTGTTTTGATTTATTTTCTTGGGACAGAATTTCCTTGGGCTTTGGATATATTAGGGAGGTGAACTCTGGGAATGAAGCTGTTGGCAGCTCATGAGCAGAAGCTCTGTCCTAGGCAGCGCTTTGTGGTTAACTTGGTGCCCCTTTTGGACCCTGGAGGGAGGAATGTCTGTAGCACAGACTTATCCTACTGGTGGTTCCTTGATGACTCCTGCATCACCAGTGCAGCTGGTGGGCCATGGGCATGGTGTGCTTCACACCCCTATTTCCAGGGAGATGTCCTAGGTTGAGGAAGAGGCCACCTCTCAGCTCTGGTGTTCTCCAGACCTTCCTTGGTTGGGTGCTAGTTTTGTGCAGCTCGGGGAGGGAGTGACAGCTGTCTGACCACATGCACTGTGGGGTGGGCTGAAGCAGGCAAAAGCCACACACGTGTCCCCTGCTGCAGATCCTACCTGCCCTGCATGGGGTCAGCCCTGCAGTGCCTGCCCGTGGACCAGCTCTCGCCCGGTCCCCTCAGTGGGGACGCTCCGGGTCAGCACTCCTGATTTTTTCTCCACTCTGTAATTCAGTTTCTAGCCAAACGGGCAAGTGCCTGTGCATCGCCATGGCAACCAAGCAGCCCCCACCGCTGATGAAGAAGCACAGCCAGACGGACCTGGTGAGCCGGCTCAAGACGCGGAAGATCTTGGGGGTTGGCGGAGAAGACGACGATGGGGAGGTGCATCGGTCAAAGGTAAGAAACCCGTTAATGCATTGCAGGGGTTGGAGGTTGGCCAGTCCTGGGGTGCTGATGGGGCAGAGAGGAGGCTGTGTGTGTGGGGACACAGCCACGGCACTTGTAGCCTTGGTTGCCTGCCCATTTGGTGGGAATGTGCCCGTGGGATCCCTCGTCCTCCTGACAGAAGGAGAGGAAAGCCCATCCAACACCAGGTTTGGGAGGTAAAGCAGGGGTGTGTGCATGTGGAGTTCGAATTAAAAGGCAAAGAGCTCCAGGATATTTGGAAAGAGAATAAGAGAATGGGGGAACAAGAAAAAAGGATGCAGGGGAGCAAGAGGGGAGCCCTTGAGGTGGCTCAGTGAGCTGCTGCTCCCTGTGTGGGAGAGGGCAGCATAGGGATAAAGGTGGGATTAGAGGAATGCATTGCAGTAGCAGGAAGTCTTCCTTGCTTTGACCTCTGGTAATCATCTAGTGTGACTTAAGCTAAATGCAAAGGTTAGTGCTGCAGGAAAATACTCACTAAACCTGTGGAATGTCATATGTTGGGCAAACAGTGGTAAGTTATACTTTCCCTTTCCTGAGACTCAAAGAAGGGTGAGGTGTGGGGGAGAAGACAAAGCCTGCAGTCCTCTGCTGCTCCCTGAGCCCCAGAGGGGCCTTGTTCCCACACAGCAGTACAGCAGAGGTAGCATCCCCGGGGTGGTTCTCAAAAATCCTCTCTCTGGGCTCTGTGCCCAGCTAAGCAGTGAGTTGTGTGGCTTTTCCAAGTCTCCAGCAGTGAGGCTATCCATTGCGTGACAAGCTGGAGACATTTACTAGGGAAGGGCAGGAAAGAGCAGAAGTACATGGAGGCAGAGGATGTGCTGCAGCCAGTGGGCAAAGGTGACTAGTGGAGTTGGTGATGCTGGGAAGCAGAGGATGGCCAGAAATGAGCCCAGGATCTGTGAAATCCAGCATCCTCCTAGCTACGAGGTAGACTCATCACCAAGGATTCCCTGACGGGTCATTGCTTCAGCTCATGGTCTTAGAACTGAGCAGGAGGCCTATCTGCATGGGTTTGCTCCTGGCTTCAGCTATTGGTTCAAGCAACTACAGCAACTTTGCAGTCATCCTAATGTGTGGCTGAGTGCCACCTTTGTGCTCATCTGCCACCTGTTTCATTTGGCTTTGTCTCTACAGCAAATTGTTGAAAGGTCTTCCTAATGGTCATTCAAAAGCAGAGGGGGAAAAAATGAATATGCAAAGTAGTTTTCCTTTACTGGATCTTTTCAAAGGCCTTCTGGAGAGGGAGCTTTCAGAATATGGCTTTGATTGCTGTGAAACTGTGGTGGGGTGTAGATGAGGACAGAGTGTCTCTCCAGGTCGTACAACTTCCCCTGACTGTGCCAGAGCAAGAGAGGGGCAGGGAGTAAATGACATGTACAGACAGTTTGAGTGAAGAACGGATTTCTCTCTGTGTGGAAATGAGCTATACTAACTTGTTTCTCGGTTAAGCTGTCTGTGTTGATGTAGCCAAAGCAGGTATGAGGTCCCACTGTAACACCTAAGTGTCTCTGTTACAATTTTAATGCATCTATTTTTTTCAGGACATCTTGGTTGGGTTTTCTGTTTGTTTTTTGTTTTTTCTTTGAAGCTCAGATGCCGCCACATCTGGTGTGTGATAGAGGAGAGTGACAGCAGTGGGTGGCATTGCCAGGCCTGTGGGGGCGGCCAGGCCTGGAGCTGCAAGCTGGTGTTCTCACCTTATTAGAGATGTTGCTTTTTAAATTTGGGAATATACATAACTGTGTGGGTGGCTTACATTCCTTCTGAGAACTCAGGCAGACGTGCTCTATCCTACACGAGCTCTTCTTTCACTGGCTGTATCTTCCTCCCATGTAGGGGAACAAAAGCACCCTTCTTTTTGTCTGTCGCCCAGTAGCCTCTTTTGTGCACACGTGCACAAAACACTTTTTACAGAGATCCAGAAGTGACTTTCTGCCACGCCTATGTGAGGGGAGTAACACTGAGGCTTTTGACAGGGGGTTGTGAATGCCAGGCAGCGTAATGCGCTGGAGACGATACAGTCACCTGCATGAACAGTGCTCCCGTCTTCATGGGGTCAGGCTGGTAGGGAGGAGAGGCATCCCAGTGCTGTGTGTCCCCTCTGCCCCAAAGTGCTTTCATGGTAACACAGTGAACTCAGCCTTGAAGCTGCTTTAAACCATTGCTGAAACTTTACTGTCAAGACACCCATTAGACAGCTTGAAGACGGTGCCTTAGAAATGAATTACAACCAATTATTCTGCTTATCGTACTCCAATGCTGGTGCCCGGAAGGTTAGAACAATGATTTAAGAGCATGTTGTCTTGCTGCTCTGGATTGCAAGCAAAGTGCACAACCTACTCCTGGGGGTACTGGGAAGCTTGGGTTATAGATTGGCCTCTGCCATCTGCCCGTGTTCACCCATGTGTGCCTGGAGCACCTCTTCAGCACTTTGAGTCCTATATGTGCCCATGGAGTAAGGTGAATAAAGCATGGGAAAGCTGTGTCCCTACCTGAGGGATAGCTTTTATATGGGACAGGGAGAGCATCTTGGTGCAGTTAAACAGATCACAGCCTTCCACTTGTCCCCTGCAGATGCTGCTTGGCTCAGCCCAGATACTTTACTGTCATGCAGCGGCTTATCTGTGTAGGTTTCCCTTCCACGTAGTTGTGGCTGGCGCCAGTCTCTTCCAAGTGTGAGCTTGGAAGAGTAGGACTGTTGCTGTGGTGTCCAGAGAGCTCTGTTAGAGGCTGTATTCTGTAGTAATGTGGTAAATTAGGCCTGATGGCAATCCTTGGAGACCCAAATGCTGCTGGAAGTCTTCAGGGAGGAGAAAGGAAATTGGTTTTGAAGATGAGAAAAGATCCACTCTGTTAAAAGAAGAAAATAAGGGGAGAGTGTTTCAAAATGATTGAAGGGTTTACTTTGGCCAAGTTATGAGCAGAGTTGTAGCCCCGAGTGCTGTGCAGGAAGCCAGGAACCACTGAACCTGCTCCAGGGAGAACCAGGCACTGGACACGTGTGAACAGTGCACCGAGTTCAGCCTTGGAGCCATTCACCTTTCTGTTAACTTATCAGTAGCTGATATCCTCCTGCATACAACCTTGCCTCCCTGGTTCATGAGAAGAACCCAACTCATGAAGTCCCTCCACGACTGCCAGCCTTGCTGGTGGTATCAAGGACATGAGCTGTGTGTCACAGGATACATGCTGAGGGGAAGACTGTTGCCATCTTACTATGTACGTAAAAGGGGACAGAATTAATGCTGCGTGTGCCCATAGCTACCTGCACATAGCTGAGCTCATTGAGAGAGCTGCAGAGCCGTCTGCTTCTGCTAAGATGTGACTAGTCTTTGTCAAGCTTTAGGGCCATGGGATCATGGAGAAATTCCCTATCCTCATTCTTCTTTCCCCCATTCTGGATCTGAGGTACTACATAGGGTAAGGGGGTATGCCTGGGGCTTAAGGCTGGGGAGCAGCCTGTCCAGTCAACTTGTGTCTTTTATTTGAATTTCAGATCAGTCAAGTCCTGGGAAATGAAATCAAGTTTGCAGTCCGGGAGCCGCTGGGACTCAGGTGAGAACTTGTGTGGCCTCAGGCACCGCCATGGGAAGCTGCTTCCTTGCCCGGTGGGGGGGACCATGTGACACAGGGAATGTGGAGGAAGGCCAGTAATTGTGCAGGCCGTGGGGAGCACTTAGGATGACCCCAAGCTCACGTTGGGGTCTCTGTTTTCCCTCCTGCGCAGGGTCTGGCAGCTGGTTTCGGCCATCATGTTCTCGGGGGTGGCCATCATGGTAAGCGAGGGGGCCGGCGCAGGGCACGGCCTGCGGCGCAGAGGACACGCAGCCTCCGCGGCTGCGACTGGCCCGCGCTGTGAGTCTCTCCTTCCCTCCCTCCGCAGGCCCTAGCTTTCCCAGACCAGCTCTACGATGCCGTCTTTGACGAGGAGCCGGTGAGCAGCAAGACGCCCGTCCGGCTCTACGGGGGAGCCCTGCTCAGTGAGTGCCATGCGGGCGCCCGATCCCGAGGGAGCACCTCCGGGCAGCCCAGGCGGAGCCGGGACGGGAGGCAGGGCTGGGAGGTGAGGCCAGCACCAGGGTGCGGGGCCTCACCTGGAGAACTGTTCTCTAGGAACCGTTCTCTAGGAAACGGGAGGACGGGGCCGCCACAGCAACATCCTGCATGGCAATGCTTGGAGCACTGGGTGCCTCCGACTGTGCCGCAGGGAAAGTGGGGACTGAGGAGCCGGCAGGTGAAGGGTGTGGGGCTGCCTGGAGGGACAGCCTGGGAAAGAAAAGGAGTTGGGGAACTGAACACTTGGGGCCCGTCTTGCCCTGACGCCGCTGCCGGTTCCACGGCCAGGCTGCGGCGGCCGCACTCCGGCAGCATCCCGGTGCCTGTGGGTGCAGCCGCTGGGATCAGCGATGCCCAGCACCCGAAGGCGGGCGGCAGTGCCAGGCTGTACGCGCCGCCCCGCGTGGATGCGTGGGCAGGCTGGCTGCTTCCCGCAGCCTGCAGCAGCATCTCGCGGGCACGGCTGGAAACGCAGTGGCTGCCGGGCTGCTGCTCCTGCAGCCTCGTGGCCCGCAGCGACAGCCGAGCTCTGTGCTGTCCCCCCGCTGCAGGTATCTCTCTCATCATGTGGAACGCCCTGTACACGGCCGAGAAGGTCGTCATCCGCTGGACCCTGCTCACAGAGGCTTGCTACTTCGCCGTGCAGTTCCTGGGTGCGTAGCGGGAGCTGCGGCGCAAGGAGCAAGGGATAGGGCCGTGTCCCATGTGCTGAGGCTGCGTTTGCTGGGGAAGGGGGCTTGGAGATGGGCAGGACACCTGGTGTGAGTGCTGGGACTGGGGCAGCACTTGTGCAAGCCGCTGAGGCCACCTTGTGTCCCTTGCCTGTCTGTGGCTCAACGGACTGTTAGTCTTGCCACAGGAGAGGAAAATAGTTCAAGTTCTTTATTTTTGGGACTTGCTTTTCTGTTGTCTTCCTGACTTTTGTTTAACCATGAATCGGGTTTTTATGCATGCGTGTAAGTTTTGGCAGAGCATTAATCGTGTTTAAAGGGAGCTGGTTTAGGTATGGGATAGCTGTTAGCAACAGAAAAGCAAGATGTGCAGAAAATGGGCAGCCTGTGTAAAATAACCACATTTTAAAGGTGCTTCTGCATTTTAAAAATACATATATAGCAGAACTAAAGTGTTTAAACCCCAAAGCAGATTTATGAACTGCAGATTTCCCAATTAACACCTGGGCTAGATGGAAACTTGCATCCATTCAAGTTACTGTTTCAGGTTGGCTGCCTGAGCAGAAAGTTGCTTTTAATAAAGTGCTTCTATAAATGAGAGCCTTGTGGCTTATGGAGCTGTGGTTGATTTTAAAGCTGTGAAATGAAGCCACTTAGAGCACCTCTGGCAGATTTGCCAGGTATGGGACTGGTGGCCTCCAGTAAAAGCTCTTGCATTAGCAAGGCTCAGCAGGCCTCCCAACTAAGCTGTGTTAGAGGATGGTAGAAAACAGTTATGCACTACTTGGACTTCATTTATTTTTTTCATCACCAACCTTTGCCTTATCTCCCTCTTTCTCCTCCAGTTACCACTGTCTCACTGGTTGAGAGCGGCCGGATAGCCACAGGTGCTGTGCTCCTCCTAGTCAGCCGAGCCCTCTTCATCCTCATCAGCATTTATTATTATTACCAAGTTGGACGCCGTCCCAAGAAAGTCTAATTCCTGGACTTTCTGTCATGGGAAGGGTGGGAGGGGGGTTTGTGTCGGTAATTTTGCATTATAATTATAACTTTTTTTGTTGTTGTTAGTTCCTTTTTGTTCTAAAGTGGTTTCCTTCTTTTCCACTTACCGGCATGACTCAGCGTGTAACCCGGTGCTGGTGGCATTACCAGGTGATGTGTGGGGAGAGCTGCGTCATGCAGGTCCCCCCCACAAACCCTTCGGGAGGAGGTGAGCAAACAGCATGAGGAAGGCTCAGGGAGGTGTACAGGCCTGACAGGCTCAGGGAAAAGAGCTGGTTTCTCTAGGGAAACTGGCCATTGGGATCACAGGCTCTGAAACCTTTAAACAAAGCACAAAAATCAGGACAGCACATCAAAACCAAATCCCTGAAGAGAAAGGGAGTTAAGGCAACCAGCGAAGGACTCGGCTACTCCCCTTGGTAAGTCTTGCACCTGCCTGTTGAGCCTCACATTTACAGCAAGTTCCTCTTTTAGCAAGTACTGTTCAGGTACCTGGGAGTTGGCCAGGATTAGTTGTAGTTCAGTGAAATTTGAAATCACAAATGAAAAGAATTGCTGTTCGTTCTTGCTACCAGAGGTGCCACCCCGTATTTGTTTTTGCATTGGTTGCTGTACAGAGCTCAGCACAAGGTATGGCAAAAGAAGAGGAAGACTCCTTACTTGTTCCCTTCACAGGGATAGTGCTGGGACCAATGGAGCATTTTTGATTGTAATATGAGAGAAGAGATGGAAGCTGTTGGGAAAACAGCCAGCCAAGCATGTTGAAATCTCCTTGTTTGGGATATTTCATGTAGTTCCTAGGCTGGGCTTCTGTCCCCTTCACCTCACCCTGTTTCCTACAGGTGCCGCTTCCTTGGTGGTAGCAGTGGTCGTAGCTGAGTTGCCTGCCATGTGTCTAACCTGCTGTTGGTAGCAACAGGGAGCAAGGTGTGAGCAGGAGTAGTGTGAAGCAGCTGGTGAGATGAGTCCCACATGTGGGAGCCCTGTTCTAGCTCAGCTACTATACAGGCATCACTCTTCCTTTGACTTTGGGGAGAAAGGACCAAAGTTTGAAGCACCAGATGCTACTTCCTGGGGATGAAGTAGTAGAATGTGCAGAGGCTTTACTGCCTTCTTCAAGATCAATCAAGGAACGACTAAAAGTACGTTAGTGCTTGTTGGCCAGTTCCCCCAACACCTATTGGGGTCACCAGCACTGGTTTCCCCTACTTCCTAGCTATTTCCTAGCAGAGTATTTCTGGCCATAGCTGCAGGCTGCATTCTTATTCTCTACAGGACTAAAAGTTGAAGGCCTGTGTAGTTGAGTTAGACTCTTTTTTTTCTTCATGCACTGTTGTTGGCTGGATCCAAGTGTGCCCTTGAGGAGGCTAATTTTCCCAAAATCCCGGTAGAAAGATGCCTACTTGGATAGAACTGCTTGGGTGAACAACAGAGTTCAACCAACTGATGATGTTGGGGTCTAGGGCTATTGCTGTTAGGTATCTTAGTATAGTTAATGGGTAGTTACTGTATGTGGTTTGTTAGTGCTCTTGGCATTTAGAAGCAGCTGCATAAATTTCAGACTGCGCACTGTACCTGTTGGCCATGCAAAATGTATGTCAGCTTGGAAAATACTTGACCCAAGAAATACTGCATTTTTTAACGAACTGAATCTGGTGCAGAGGCAATGTTCAACATCAGGCTAAATGCTACAGCCTCCATCCATGCATCCAAAAGGTGGTTAGAAACCACATTGATATTATAAGGTGGGCCAACCTGTATAGGTGGAAGAGTCACGTTCTAGGAGGGAAACTATTTCCCTGTGAGTCAAGAAATGGTCGAGTGCAGCCCAGAGAGCGTGCAGAGCAAAGCAGCGTGTGCTGCATGAGGAGCTGGGAGGTGGCAGGCTGTGGCTTTGGCTCCTGTTGCCAGCACCAGCTGCCTGGGCAGCTGCAGTGGCACAGCTCTGCACGGCGCTTCAGCCATAGCTGTTGGTATAGGTAAGTGGTGCTTGAGTCTTTGTGTTTTGGGGGTCAGGCAAATGTGTTCAGACTGGTTAATGGTGTTTGGGGGGGTGGGAGGGTCAGAGAGGAGACTGTTTCTAGGAAAACTGAACAAAACCATTGCAAGACAGGCTTATGGAGAAAGGAAGTGGAGGGTCAGCTTTATGATGCCCTTTCACACCCTGGGACTGACTTACACCATGAGTTTGAATCTGTAGATGGCTGACTGATTAGGTACCTTGAAAGTGCTCTTCAGGAGGTGAGAGACACATGTTCTTACACTATGAGGGAGCAGTTCTCAGAAGACTCATGGATAGAACAATTAAATTTGTGTCTTTCAGGTGTGTGTGGAGGGGTAGGTCTTTCTAAAGGAGTTTTAAATCAAGTGAGATCAGATTCTTCTTTGGTCCCCTACTTAGCAGCTGTCTCTGCAAAACTTCAAACAGGCATTTGACTCTAGCTGATGCTAGTGCTAGGGTTTTTTTAATCTGATATCTTCTGCTCCAGCACAGAACAGAGCCTGGGGGTGGTCTGCAAGGGCTTGATGCTAAACAGCACTTAGCCCCAAAAGAGGAGAAGGTTCTCTTATTTTTTCCTGTTTGTTGCTGCAGCTTGCCCTAATTGGACTCTTTTTATAGACTATGACAAGGGAGTGGGGGCTGTATGTCCAGGACCATCCCTTATGAAGAAGTGAGATGGAGCAAATGGATGTCCTGCTTTACAGCTGCTACAGGAAGGTCCTGTTCCTCCTGCAGGCAGCTGGAGGAGGTGAACTTGTCACAGGTGAGGACTGGGAGGGACTTCTCAAGGCCACTTGAGGCTGGAGCTAGGGCAGCACTGCCAGAAACCAGCTGTGGGTCTGTCTTCACTCCACCACTATGGAGGGGGAGCCTTTCTAAGGATAGAAAGGTTGGGATCACAGCTGCTGGTAGTAGCTGAGCACATGATTTAGGATCAAAAGCCTGAGGTTGCTCTTTAGGCTCTGGTACTGATCCTTTCATCTCCATCGGTCTCGCTTTCCGCATCTGTTAAGCTGTGGGGAAGATCTCGGACTGTCATCATCTCTCTCGGGAAGCAATTTTATAAAGAATTCCCTACTAGCATTTGTGCAGTGTTGTGCAGGGGGGAAAGCTCCGTCTCCCCAGGCGGCTGTGCCCTGAGCAGGGTTGAGGATGACCCCCCCTCCCTTTCTCTGCACTAGGCAGATCCAGCCCCTTGCAGCTGTAGGGGCCCTCATCACTGAGGCTGGAGCAAGCTCAACACTCACATTACCCTCTGTGTAGCCTTCTGGAGGCTAATGGACCCACATATGGCAAACTGGAGCTGCTGATGAGAGAGGCTCTTGGTCTAAGCCTCTCCTTTCTGGTCTAGGGTTTTTACTGGAGGGTGGTTGGGGGGTGCGGGGGGTGAGGGGATGACAATACACTTCAGCTTATACCTCATTTTAGCTGCTGTACCTGAGTTTATTCTTTCTCCTCTGGTAAGAAAGTGACTGTACTTAAACACCAAACAAATAGTGAAAAATTAAAGCCGTTTCACTTCACTGTCACAATATCTTTCTTTTTATTTTATTTTTTTTTTTAAGAAATGCACACCAAAAAAACGTGCTGAGAGTGCTTCAGGCTTGTGTTCTGGTTTATATTACCAAAAAAAAAAATTCCTTTCAATATAAAAAAGCATTACAGTAGGGAATACAGGATAAATTAGCTCCACTATCTAATAAAAAGAACATTTACAGTTTTTTTAAAATAGATTTCAAACATTATTTCACACGCAGCCCTTTTCCCAGGCATTTGTGACAGTCATTTGAGCCTTAAATAACAGCTAGGAGGCAGCGAGGGGCTTCTGGCTTGCAGGCTCAGGCTGCTCTCGCAGCCCGGGCTGCGCTCAGAGCGCCTTGTCCAGCACAGGCACCAGCAGCCCGGCAGCTCCGCTGGGCCCCAGCCTGCCCCCAGCTCTGCAGCAAGCAGCGAGTTTAGCCCGGGCCCTTGTCCCAAAAGGATGTGCCAGAGCTGGTAGAAACAAATATAAAAATACAATTGCTTCTCCTGCCTACTTCTCTGGAAAAACACAGACTCGTCTACTGTACAAGGGAAGGGATAGCCACAGAACTAATGGACAAAAAAAACCCTAAATCTACATGCCTTGCCATAGGCCAGGAGTCTGACTTCCATGCTTATTTATCCCTTAAAATCCCAAAGGGGAAATTCCTACTTCCACAGGTCCTCTCCAACTTCCACACTTCTTTACAGCTCTCCCCACCCCTTGTTTAAAATGTGCTCTCTGGCGTTGCTTTGATTTCAAGCCATGTTCCCAGTGGTCCATGAGCCAACTGCAGCGAGAACGTGAAATATTCATCCAGAAAAAGAGCACGAAGGGATCATACAAGGTAAGAAGGGGAAAAATGCACAAAAGCCAGAATAATAGAAGAATATGGGAGCTGTTGAAGACTGGGTGGGATGGAGCCATTAGGGAGAGAGGAAAAGTAACGGGAGCTTGAAACAGACCAAACACTGAGTACAGAAGTGGGTAAGCCAAAGAGAAATAAGCCTGCAGCGATCCTGTTTCAGACTAGTCTCTTTAGCACTTAGGGCTCCAGCTGTTGTGGGTTATTTCACCAGTGCCAGGGGCTGGAGAAAAGGGTTTTCTGCCTCCAGTCCAGCTGCCCCTGAAGAGAAGGGGTTTCAGCCTCTAGCCCTGGCCAGAAGCAGCCAGATTTTTCCACTAGAAAAGGAAGGTAAAAGGAAAAAAAAATAGAACGGTGGCACGTCTGTTTATCTTGTTCACCTCCATCCAAATTAAAAATCTTGGGTAGTGGTTTTCTTCCTCCCTTGGGAGTTGTTCTCCCAGAGCAGTCACTGACACCAGCTCCTGAGGCAGGCCCAGAGCTGAGGAGATGCTCGAGCTCCAGGCTGGCTCCAAGGCAGTGGCCCATTCCCTGTAACACTAGTAGATGCAACAGATTTTTCCTCCCTTAAGAGCAGCACCTGCTCTTGGGCACAAATACTGCTGGTTTTGGCTAACAAACCTGTTTTCCTTCATTAAATAGCACAGTGGAATTTAATGCTAAAATGCATCATTAAAAACATATCCAGAGGGAAACTGTTCAGAAAAAGCATTCCATGAGGTTTTAATACAACATCTGAGGCCACTCAGCAGCCTTGGCCTCATATTCCAGCCCCAGAATAGCCTGGCTGTGGTTTGGTAGGAGCAGGGGGCTGTGCTAGCTGGCTAGCACCTTTGCCTGCTGATGAACAAATTGTCCTCAGCTGTAGCTTTGTAAAGCTCTGCTGCCTCCTTCCTGTTCCTCAGTATCCTGATTCCCCAACCTGGACATTGAGTCAGGTTCCCTGGTTATTATGACCCACTCTTTTTGCTCGTTTCCTTCCTTCCTCAGCAGCTGCAGGTTCATTTATGAGCATCTGGGCTGTGCCCTTGGGAAGCTTGAAGGCCAGAAAGGCAAAGTACCTGTTGCTGCCAATGTGGGGCCAGAGGCTGCTGCTCCCAGCTCTGCGTTGCTGCTCCTTCACCCTCTCCTTCGTAGACGGTGCTTACAGCACCCAGAGAAGCTGCTTTAACCCAATATTAAAAGTGCTCCTTCATCAGAGGCTGTAAAAAAAGACCTAAGTGAAACAAGGAACCTGTAGCTGCTGCTGCCCTCGCTCAGGTAAGACACTGTGGACAGCATGGCCAGAGAAGCAGCTTGAGCAGTTTGGCCCTGCACTAAGTGCTCTTAGCGCCTACATGGGGGCCTCAGTTTCATCTTGATGCCTGAGATCCAGGCGGAGGCCTGGACCATGTTTTCCAAGTTCATTTCTAAAGGATGAAGTGGATGATATGTTCGTTAAATGTCAGCCTCTCTCCAGGGAGGAAGCAGTCTCCGCTAACAGGCGGCCCAGAACAATTCCGACTTGATGCTTTTGTCAGGGGCCTGAGGGGAAATGACGCCACAGGACAGTTTAAGGCAAACAGCATGGGGCTTGGTGACAAAACTTGGCCTATCCCATCTCAGCGTCATTCCTGGAATCCCCTTGGGCAGAAAAGCATGTAGGAAGCCACTGCAAATCTTTAAGCTAAGAGAGCACCACAAACTTTTTTTTTTTTTTTTTTCCTTTTTTTTTTTTGCAAGTATCAAGTGAAAGAAGGCTGAGACAATTTAAACACTAGTTCCTCCACTTCTCAGGAGGGCAGCAGCATGACCTGGCCCATTTTTCATCTGACCCGTTATTTTCCTCAGGGGATGGGAACAGAGCAAGGAACTTTTCCCCCTCCTTTTTCACAACAGTGAACACTAGATGCAAGCAAAGCCAGAAGAGGACTCCTGACCACGAGCCAGCCTGTCTTAGATAAGTCCTGTGTCTAAGCGGGACCTCTCTGCCCCTTCTTGGAGCTCCAGAGAAAGGCCAGCCTTGCCGAGTGCTGCACTTCTCTGGGAAGTGCGCTTCTACCGGATGAGCATGTTTCTATTTTATAGCTGGAAACTAATACCTAGTGCCAGAATCACATGGCCAACAAGTGCCAGTTTCCTAGATGATCCACCACCACCACCACCATTGGTTTCACACCCACCTGGACAGTCGCACGCTTTGGCCAAGACATTGCCTTATGCAGCCCCAGTGTTGCCACTCTTCCCTCCTTTGCTGTCTAAACCAGTGTGGAGCTGTGAGCTAGGCACGGCTTTGCTCTGACACGCAGAGGAGGAAGCTGTGCTCTTGCTCCTGCTCCCGCTCCCCCCGGCAGGCTCCTCCTGTCCCTAGTGCAATCGACTGCGCGTGGCTGCTCCGCGGCTGCTGCAGGCGGCTCTGGGCAAGGGTCCGGTGTACAGTGTAGTGCACATCACCTCAAAGATCCAGCCCCTGAAGTACAATCCTTTTGGTCGTTCATATATTACAACCCTCTTTTTTTTTTTTTTTTTTTTCCTCCTTTTTTTACCCCCCCACCCCGTTTTGTTAAAAAAAATAAAGTTTTTGGGTGTTCTCAGGTTTTGTTTCTTTCGATTTTCCTTCTTTCTTCTGAGCACGTGGGGCAGCGTGGTGATTCATAGGCTTCTGCCTACTGGATCCCTCGGAAGAGACACATGGCGAAGACCATGGCGAAAAGCTGGGAAGAGGGGGGAAGGACAACAAAACCAAATGAGAGAACAAGGCAAGTCAGTCTTACCTCCTGGAAGAAGGGCAAGGATCCCTGTAGCCCTTCGTCTACCACTGCCTCCCTTCTTCCAGAAGACACCATGAGGATAAGGCTCTCCGCACCTCCGAGATGAGCATCAGCCAGCTCCTCGGGATGCTCCGAGGCTGAGGGCAGCCCAGGGCAGGCGCTGGGGCCTGGGAGCTTCCGCGGCCAGTGCTGCAGCCCCGAGCCCTGCGGCGGGCTCGACACGAGGCGGCACTGCAGGCCCACGGAACAGCCCACGTCGATGACTTCTGCGCCAAGGGACCAAGCACCCCCTCCCTCCGGGCGATCAAAACTGCAAGTTAATAACCTGCTCACACTCTGGCGGCACGAGCTTTCCCTGCAGAGGCTGTCCCTGCCTGTTTGCGTCGCTGCTGGATCCTGACGCTAATTTTATTTGTTTTTCAAATCACGCAGTATTACCTCAATGGCCAAAACGCCGATGGCAAGGGCTCCTGCAAGGTACACGTAGGTCTCAAAGGAGTTCAGGATCACAGTGTAACAGCCCTAGAAAGGATGAAGGCAGAGTTGAGCACCACTGCATGTTGTCCTCTCAGCAGAGCCCTCTTCTGTACCTGTACATTGAGATCCAGTTCCTAAAAGCAAGGCTCCCCCCCACCACCAGGAGTCTCTGGTTTTACAAAAAAAAATGCTAATCTCTCTCCATGTTTGGTGACACTTGCTGCACACGTCGTTTCTCCCATGCTGCACTGAAAAGGGGGTCACAGAAAAGCTGCCATTTCTATAAAACCAGTAGGTTGCAGCATCACCATTTCAGGAAAGCACCAGTTTGCTCCCTGCTTTAACCTTGTTTCTCAAATGTATGTCTCCTTCCCTCCCTGCTGTTTGCCATCTCTCTCCTCTCTCTCCTCCCCATCTACTCATGGCAATGAGATGTGACAGGAGCAGAGCTGTCTGCTACAGTCTCTCATCCAGAGTGCCTTTGCCAATACCTCCTAGCTGCCAGACTAGGAAACAACTTCTAAACTCCCCTATTCTCTTTCAGTGTGCTGTCAGATGCTGAAAAGAGGATCAGTGCTTAGTTTGAAGAGACAAGAAAACTTGTGTATACAGTCAATACACAGTTTGACTGGCTTGTTAATGTGAAGATGAGCATAAAAGTTTGCAAGGAAGTTTCTGAATCTTCAGGTCTCAGGGAAAAATGTAAGAGAACACTACTGGTAATGCCAATGTCAATGATATACTGAATTGTCTATTTAAGTCTAGCATTGGGAAGAACTGCTAGGTTGAGAAACCTAGCAAAGGAAATGCCTCTTTTCTATTGCAATCAGTGTAAGTGGACAGAAGTGCAACTTTCCACCGCTTCTCCTTGGAAAACAGACCTGGTTTTCTGTGGCTGTTCAATCCCTAATTTCTTGGTTGCATAGCTTGTTTATTGACACTAAGTTTTGGGGAACTGGAGTGGAGCTGCTCAGGCAGCCTGTAGGTGCCAGCTCCATCCCATCGCCGCTGACCTGTGCTGGCTTGGTCATTAACTTCTTGGGGCAGGGCTAACCTTCACAAATGCAAGAAAACTTTACATAATCTCTGACCTCACCTGCCAATTCCTTAAGGAAACGTTCATATTTCTGCTGATATATACAACATAGACCTAGCAGTCCACACCGTGAAACAGAATTTTCAAAACCAGATCTATGCCACGACTTCAAAAGCACGAGTGAAAACAGGAGCCAAGACAGAGCCATGACCTGCCAGGCTCCCTAGCTCCCCACAAGTCATCACAGCCATCCTCGTGCCTGCTGTGAAATCCCTTTTCCCCTTGTGTGTGGCTTCTCTTACCTGCCGATTCTGAAACCTCTCCACGCCTCCGAGGCAGGCGTCCCTGTCGACAAACATCCCCTCCTGTGTCTGGAGCTGCCGCTGGCAACAAGCCTCTGGTGGCGCCTCTTCCAAAGGTAAGTGTGGGACGTGAGAGAGAGTTTCAAAATCTTCTGGTCCATTCACTCCACAGCAGGCGAACTAGTGAGAGGTACAAAAGAGGTAGATAGAGTTGACACTTTGACCCGAGACACCAGAAGTCTCCTCAAGCCCCATTTTTCAGGGATCAAAGCTCTGATTGAAGCAGAGATAGAACTGTTGCTTCCAAAGGAGTGAGTTGTGCTTATATCTTGGAGCTTTTATTTAAAACACACGCACAGACACACATACAAAAAGTCCCACTACTCCCAAGTCATAGTGAAAACACTAAGGTGCCTCTGTGAATCTATGCAGGGCTTTGGAGTATATCAGAAAAAAATTGAGATCATCCAGCAGATCTGTAAAAGCAGACAGCAGTACAAGTCAGGTACCTCACCATTCGTTCCCCCTATACCTAATATCCATGATTGCTGTTGCTCAAAGGCAATGGTGGGCAATTCAAGAAAAATGCCTTTTTAGGATTCAAGTCATGTTCTCTTTACAGATTCAAGTCATGCACTGACTGTGCCTCCTTTCAGTAAGCAAAAGGAAATGTCTTCATTAAAATCCTGAATCAGCATGAAGGGTAGCAATCATCTTTTTCTTTTAAGATTAAAATTGACTTTTCACCTTCAGAGACTGACATCTAACTCTTCAGTGCCAAACAGACGGAACATGGGCTGTACAGGCCACAAAGTTCACATGTGTACAGTTATGCACACAAACACACCCACGTACACACAATTTCTTGTGGTATGTAGGAAGTAACATCTTCTAGAATCATAGAATCATAGAATGCTGAAGGTTGGAAGGGACCTCAGAGGTCATCGAGTCCAACCCCCCTGCTCACGCAGGGTCACCTAGAGCACGTGGCACAGGGCTGCGTCCAAGCGGGTTTTAAAGATCTCCAAAGAAGGAGACTCCACAACCTCTCTGGGCAGCCTGTTCCAGTGCTTTGTCACCCTCACAGTGAAGAAATGCTTCCTTAAGTTCCTGTGGAACTTCCGATGCTTCAGTTTGAAGCCATTTCCTCTAGTCCTTCTAGTATACAAGAATTTAAAGTGAAACTAAAGCCAATCTTTAACCACCTTGATTAGGACTTAAATAACAAAATGAATTTTAATGGTGAATATTCCTGCACTGATATTGTCTAACAACTCATTTCACAAGGGCTGTTAAAAAGCTACCACTAGTTTTGGCCACTGGTTACTGCATAAAGTTTTGAAGTAGATTCCAAGGTGAAAGGTCTAAAGCAATGGTTGACCCATGAGAGTGAACATCAAGCTAGCTCTATCAGTCCACACAAGTTGCTTCAGAAGATGGTGCTTAAATTCTTTTGGCAAAATCAGTAATATTCTGGCTTTTTGGTTACAGACAACTCCACGGCTGTTGGTGCCAGTTGTTAAAGCTGGGAGCAGATAGCCTTGGGTTTAGGCCTTTGGGTGTTTCACTTTGAGAAAGCTTGTCTGCAAGGCGAGTGTTCGTTTCACTGCTACCACCAGAACAAACCCTGCCGTGCTTGAGCCTGGGGAAGGCAGAGTGAGTTGATGGTGTGGGCCTGAGCATGGTGGCAATACCAGAATGGGATGGGCAGGGCTGCACTTACTGTGATCATAACAGAGTTCCAGGTGGAAGAGAAGACATCCGTGTCATTGTTCCTCAGATAATGTTTCTTCAGCTCCTTGGTGAAGAACTCCCTGGTCAGCTGAAATGCAGACACAAGTGGAAATGTAAAGTGTTACTGCCAAGACCTCTTATCCAAGCAGCTCTCAGAGCTCTCTTTGGGAATGCTGGTGGTTTTGCTTGTTTGCTTTATTTTGGGTCTTTTTTCAAATGCAGAAAGAATTGTTTCTATTTGTGTATGCTAATATTTACATGTAATTTTTTTAAAGATACAGATATAGATTCAAGTCTATTTGAAAGTACTTCATAAATTGATAAAGAATCCACACCGATACAGTAGCTTAACTTACTAAATTTCACAAGGTCCACTGTGAGCACATGATTTTCCCCTTACTTTTCATTTTAAAACAGATAACTTCCTTCAAACATCCAGGGTACTGCTCTGATTTTATTTCCATGTGTGAGATATCAGAATCAGGCTCTAATATTGAACTTTCTAGGGTTGAAAAGGAATTAAAAAAAATAACAAATGTGAAATGTTCAAGCCAACTTACAAATCATAAAAAAGACTGTTTCCCTGACAATGCTGTAGATTATCTAAACAAACCCTTACACAAGATGGAAAAAAAATCCTCTTTATATTTCCAATGTTTAGATAATTTAAACATTTTCTCCCAGACTCAACAATAAAAACTAATGAAACTTCATTTACTCCTGTTTACAATAAAATAGAAAAATTGTACCAACAGTTCTGCTCTGAGTCTCCACAAAGGGTCAGACACCTTGAAATTACATTCACTTAGGATCACTCTCTGGAGGAACAATATAGAAACTTAATAGTCTTCTTAAAAGAAATAGCCAGACTCAATCTCGTGGATTTTCTGTCACTTCAAAATGAAACGTGCAAGAGATCCCCTCTTCAGGTTCCCACTGGTCTTGACTTGTGTGGTCCGTTTTCTAAAATAGCTTTGTTGCACATAGGTTGCACTTTGCCATCCCCACAAACAGAGCTCCTACACCAGCACAAAGCCTCAGGGAAGGCATTAGTACTCAGCAGGAGACACTTTTGCTCTACTATTACATATTTGCAAAGATCAGGACTTGAGATGTCTGAGAAATCACCTTTTTTTTTTTTTTTTTGTTGCTGTTGAAACAGTATTGCTGATCCATTAACTACCCACCTATACAGTAAAGAGCTGCTTTCAGATTCTTGATACGCAACAAGAAATACTGTGTGCATAAGATGCACGAGTGAGCACAAAAAATCAATGCTTCCTTTGTAACTTTACCACAAAGTTTAAGGAAAACCAGAGGGCTGTGGTAATTCCTTAAAGGAACCAGAATACTACTTATTTTTGACTTTTCTTTTATTAATACAAGCTAAGACAAAATTAAATGACTAAAACAATACTGGGTATTGTAATAACTTTGCATAACTCAGGTAGCTAAATCTCACTACCTGTTAATGAGACAGGCTTCAAACTTCCTAAACCACTTTTAAAAGACACAGACTTTTATTTTTTTGCTTTTGAATATTAAAATACCAGAAGACCATAGAGGACAGGCATTTTCCTCTGGGAATTTGGTGCAGTGGGAGGAGGCTAGATTAGAAGATGCTGAAACATATCCTCAGTGTTCTCCTTTTCTTTCTTTGTATGCTTTACCTACCAAGCATACTATCCTACAGAGACAGCAGCACAGTCTTTTTTTTCTTCCTTTCTTTTTTGATGATTGCCTGTTTTTGAAGCTCAGACTTTGAAACTGATATTATAGTCGGTAATAATCCCAACCGGCTGCCTTTGGCCAGGTCTGAGACAAAAGTGTCATTTGAATATAAAGTGAAATCTTTATTTTGACAGCAGCAATCCCAGAGGAAATTGTTCAGGGTTTGTGTGTGATTTTTATGAGACTTGGCCTAGAAGAAAACCTAGCGCTGGAAGGGTAAGTCTGCCAGGAAAATAACTGATTCCTCTTTGCTGCTGTTAAACTGGAGTTTGTCCTGAGCATCTGAGTTCAGAGGATTTTTAAAAACTGATCAGTAGAACTTTCTTTCTTCTTCTTAGAGAAAAAAAAAAAAAAGAGGAAAGAAAAAATACTGGCAGAGGAGGATAAATTCCATAAGACTAGTCACAGGTCCACGGTCCCTTCTGGTTGAAGCTAACAGTGTGATGTGACTTTGTACAATAGAATATTATGACAAGAACTATTCAGGAGGAGGCAGAGCTTTCTACACACTCCTGCCACCCAGTCACGCCAGCCACAGTCATGACGACTGGGTCACCTTTCAGTTCTGTTCTTTTCCTAGCTGCTTTGATGGGGAATCTCCAATAAAAGAGAGGTGTGTGGAAGCATACGCAACAATAAACGAAGTGAGGCTGGCTTGTTACACTGGCTTAAAAAACTAGCTTGGGTGGCATTACTACAGCCAGATGCAGGGGCTTTAGAATCCGAGTATTTCTATATGATGGGTGAGCTGGCACTGCTGAGGAAGCTCACAGCCCTCCCAACTCAGTGCTGTGTCTGAACATAATGCTGTGCGAGAAGTGGGCTTTCCTCCTTGGAAAAGCAGGCACACTTCTGCTCCTGCCTGTAGCACACTAATGACAGGACAGTGTTTGTACTAGAGATACACCACCACTCCTGTGCTCCTCTCTTCCAGAGTGTTTTCATCTACGACTCTGTCTGCTCAGCCTAGGAATGTGATGTGCATATTGGTTAGCTTTTGCCTTCACTCTGAAGAAACAGGGGTATCAAAGATGAAAATAACTTGCCTTTTAAGTGTCAGGACAGGGGATAAAAGCCCAAACATCCTGATGCAGTTCAGTGCCTTTCCACTGCACTGATCCATACCTGCTGTCCTGCTTTCTTGCTAGCAAAGGTAATTCACCGTGTCTCTCAGGTGGATACACTGATACTGTCATTCAAGCACAAAGACATTTTGAAGAGAAGCTCCCTCACCAACACAGAGTCTATGTAGGGTCATTAATTTCATCACACAATAGCCTTGAAAAAAAATCAACTATCCCTCCAGGGTCTAATGCAGACCTCTGAAAGGTCAATTCCTGCATGCAAGTCAAACTGTGCTTTCCTAGGCACTGCTGATGCCACTCTCTGTCACTCTCTCTGAAGACATTATGTTACAGGAGTGACATAGCCACTGTCCAGAAGACAAGAGTTCTCTGTCTCCAAAAGCTTCCTATATAAAAAATGAAAACCTCTGATTCTGTCCAGCCACTTAGCCTCAGGCTAACCCACAAATGACAGCAAACTATCTACAAATGGTTGCCAAATCACAGCATATGATGAAAAAAATAAAACAGTAAAATAAGTAGTTTTTTTCAGAAGAAACCTGAGGGGAGAACCAACCACAAGAACTTTTAAACTGAATTTAATTTGTACATAGAATGATTTCCAACTGACTTGCGTTTTAAAGGTTCTTTATATCTTCCTGTTTATGCCTTTCCTGTCAATCATTCTGACAGGGTGGAAATCTGGTGATTTGAAAAGGGTGAGGAGTTCAGAGAAGACATCCGAGTAATTTGCTCTCCTTCATTTTTTAACTCACAGATCACCCCAGATGTCACAGAAGTCTAGAAGAAACATTACAAACTTATCTTGCAAGGGGGAGAGACACGTATCCATATGTATCCCACTGCTCCCATAGGCACTGAAGGTACTAATGCTCCGTCCAGAATCCAAACATAAGCAGGATCCCTTGGCCGTGGGAGGAGGACATAGCTGGTCCCCTAGTCACACCCCACACGGGACTAACATTAAGCCCGTCTAGTTTCTCAGGCTTTTACTGGTTCCCCCCACGCTGCTCTGGAGGTGGGAGCCGTCCGCTGTCCCGATCCACGTGCTGCTGCCCCAGCGCCTGCGTTATCCCGCCTTTGGGAAGGCTGTGGTGGGGCAGCAGGACCCCCAGGTCCTGTGCAGAGCTGCGCCCGTGAAGCGCTTCTACGTGTGCGGTCTGCTTCTCGTGTTGTACCACAGGAATTCTCTGAAAACCTTGAACAGAAGAGCTGTGCTGACCAGAACACCCCGGGCCCCCCACGCTGCAACCCGCTCACATTGCTGCAGCCATTCCCACTAAGATCTGGTCTCAGAGCCTAATCCGGAGTGGAGCACCCACAGTGCACACAGAGTGCTGTTGTCTCCACACCGCCCACTTCTGAGGCAAAGGCACAAAGACCACCAGCTTGTTAAGGAAAAAAACTCTTCCCACTAAGTCCCCACAGACCATCTTGCTGTGCAGACACACCTCACTGTTTTGTTATCAGCCTCATGACTCCTGCTTCTTGACTTATCAAATTCCTTTTACATGAATGAAAGCACAGCCTACCTCACAAAAACCACAATGATAGCAAATTACAAGGATCTTTGCTCATGCTGCATTTTTGGTCACAGTCAGCTGGAGGGATATGCTGTATATTCCCCTACTATTGAGAGAGGCCAAATAAGAAAGAGAAATACTAACAGCAGCTATTGACCATTGTTACTAGCTGGCATTTTCTCACATCCATCATTCAATCCCGTTTTAAGGATGGGTTGCCTTGAGAGTCTAGTTCAGTCAGGCTCTTCCTTGCACAAGTAGTGACAGGAAAGAAAAATCATAAACCTTTGTTGGAGAAACAAATGAGACTGTGCTTACTACTAGCATAGGGAAGAGAGCACAGCCATATAGTAATAGGCAGAGCCACAGAGTAGAGAGGGTTACATCACATGAAGCTTTAGAGAAAAGGACCAGGAACCCTTAAGCAGGGCAATACACACAAGAACCACTGACAGGACCCAAAATGGGATATGGAGAGCCTTGATCAGAACAAGTCGGGGAAAATGATCTCTTACAAGCAGCAACATTGAGAGGTGAATGCCAGAACAGTGAAAATTCGATATGATTAGAAGGTACACAAGACTCTTTTGAACTTCAGACAAAGCAAACATTGGCTTTACTAGGCAAATGGAAAGTTTCACTATTGATATCAAACACATTCTATATTTGAAAAACAAAATAGATACTTTAAAGCGTTATGTGACTTTATTAGAAAACTCTATATGAGGGATTATGCAGATAGCTTGGCTGCAAAAGAATCTAGACTCTAAAAACTTCAGGATTTAAGTAGCCCCCAGCAAATCTCTCTGTGTACATAACCCACTTACCTCACACATGCCAGCTTCATTCACTGCCTTGCTGGCTGTTCTGCAGACTGAGGGCAGCAATGAAGCAAATTTCGTGGTATTTGATGCACACAATCTACAAACTTATCAGCCACCACCTAGCCAGCTTCAGCTGGGTACAATCCCACCAGAGTTCACAGCTTGCCCACCACAGAATACTTACATTTTCTCTGAAGATAAAAGCCAGGATTGCAGCTGAAAGCTCTGCCAGGAAGATTAACAAAATAAACATGAAGAACTGGAAGAGAGAAGACGTAGAAAAAAACAAAAACATACTATTAGGTACATTAGCAGGAATACAGCTGAGGAAACTTTTTTCCCCCTCCTAATAATTAAACCTATACATTTTTTATCTGTTTATTAATCAACATGAAACATCTATACTACCAAAAGTGCACTGAAATTGATGCAGTAATTTGGGGCAAACACAGCCCCTCTCCGATTACAGAGCTTGCACAGGACATGGGAGCACGTTACCTGGCGAGGGTGTGGAAGAGCTGCTTTCACAGAGTCAGCCCCACAGTGCAATAAGAACCAAGTCTCATCTACATTAATAATGTATCAGATAAAATTTCCACAGAAAGTTAATAAGGCACCATCTTACACTTAACATGATTGTGCAAGTATCATCCATGGCATGTGTGCATGTTCATATTCATAGCCCTAAATCAAGGGCACATTGCAGATTTAACAGAAAGCCATCAGCCAGGAGGCCGAGTGCTGGCAAGACAGACACAGCCTCTCAGTTCTCAGAAGTACCAAAGTAAAGCCAATACACCCATGTCACCATAATTCAAGGTAAGAGAAATAAAAGTAAACAGAGAGGCATGTGTTTGCTAAATTTAAGATGGAACTGTGCTTTCAATTTGTGATCCTTGAAACCTTCTGGTGCTTCTATTTAAGCCTGATCTTCAGTCTTATTAGTGGACGAGGATGTTGTTCTTGTGTGGTTACCAAGCCTGATTCATCTTGCCTTCTCCACCTTCACCACAGAAGTAAACCAGATCAAATTAACAGGGCCCTCGTTCCCACAGAGATGGTGATGTTGTGTTACAAAGGCTCTGGCCCTAGGACCTTGTCTACTTAGCTCTCTCAGGCTTCAGCAACCATTAATCTGACTTAATAGAACATTTGTATGTTTTTTATAGAGAAATCATCTTTTCAGAGTCAGTCATTGTAAAATTTAAGGACCAGACTGATCAAATGTTTAGAAAGGTTAGAAGTGACCTCAGGTTTTGGTCCCATGTGAGAAAAATGGGAGTGAATGGAGCACCCAGGAAATCTGCAGCACATGGAGGGTCATAAATGTGTGGACTACGTTGCCAGTGAAGATGATTGAAGCGGCAAGCAGAAATAAACACAAGAAAAGTCCATATTTGTTTCTGTGCAAGACGGTTATTGGGGATCTTTCTGCAAGAGAAGGCAGCTGGGTCCAGAAGTCCTATTATATTGATTATATATTACATTGATTAAATAAATTATATGAATCCAATCACTTATAAACAATGTCTGTAATGTGCTGTGACATGTATTTCAGTAACAGTGTCAATTTGAACTGCCTGCTTGGAATGGGCAAAATGCTGTTTTGGTGTCAAATGTTAAAGCTGTAAGTGATTTTTACCCTCTAGAAAAGTGCACTCATGCATCGTCCATTTGTCTTCCTGCTTTGGCAATGAAAACAAAGAAATAAATCCTGGTTAAAAGGACAAAACAAGAAGGGTCAGATGAACAAGGACTTCAAGTCTGCCAACAGAAATGCTGTTGCTTGGTCTGCTGAACTAGTTAACTTGGTGATTTATTCTTATTGCTAGAGTTTTTTGTGTGGCCTTTTTTTCTTCCTTCTTAGAGACTGCTTTGTTTTTAATTTCACCGCAGGAGGGCAAAGAACAAGTGATGAGAATGAACAATACTCTGCAAATCCACATCATCATCCATCAAGGGATCTCAGCATAGCCACTAAGAGGTCTAAGGTGATGATCAAGTGATTAATCCCATCATCCTGCTAATTGCATTTCATTTACTGATTACTGGGGTACACATGTGCAACCAAGCTCCAGCACAGGGCTGGTACAGCAACAGAAGCAGCCAGAGCCCGTCTTTGGTAAGCTTCATTATCATTCCCAAACTGATTTACACTTGCAGTGCACAGACTGCATTACAGATTCCTAGTAGCTGCTGCAGAAAAAACATGAGCAGCCACTAGTGCTGATGGAAAAAAAAATAGATGGTGCATCAGTGCTTCCAAATTTGTTCTCATTCTACATCTTAAGGCAAAAATCTTCTTAGTACGTCCTGCTGACCAAAATTAAGTTTGGTAATTACGGATATCTAAGCAGTGAACAGCCAAACAGTCAGTGCACATGGATGGGATGTCTTCCTTTCAATTCTTTCTTGAGACAGGACACTTGAACACGGGTGCGTTCCTCATCCAAACTGAGAGTCTGAGCATCCTGGAGAATGGGGTAGACAAAGTCTGGTCAAAAACTCTACTTCAGCTCTGGTGGTGCTTATAGGTTTTGTCATAAGTTTCTACAAATTAACATTTCATGTTTCTTTTTCACAGTAAATCTATTGTTTCAGTTTCAACAACATTGCTGTGAAAAGAGCAGCAAACAATCTTCAATCCAAAGGACAGGCACATTCATTGTGATGGTGTCAGGGGAAGCAGGAGGATCACTGCATCTGACAAGGGTGCAGAACAGGATGCTTGCGCTCACAAACAGGCCAGATCAAGCTGGCATAAACTTTCTTTTTTTCCAAAGTTGAATTCAGTCCCACAGGGAAACAAACCAAATATTTACACAGGCATTTTTGTGTACACTCGGAAGCGCTTCAGATTCTGGTTTTGATGCTCCTCTCTTGCGATGAAAAGATCTTTAGAACAATCCAGAAGTTGGTGAAACTCTATTTTGTAGGCTACTGTCTGCTGCTCTTGGTGAAGCCAGTCCAATTTCTGAGGAAGTTTAAAACACTTCTCAGCCTTGTGGCCTAATGCGATGTGCTGGGTTCCACGGTGATGCTTTTTCCAAAGAAACAAACAGCAGAAAGTAAAATGAAAGTCCTTGCACATAGAGAAGCCAGGACCCAGAACACATGCATACGTACGTCTGTCTTGTTGCTTCTAGCTTCTGTTGGACTAAAAGCTGCAGATATACATTATGCATCACTGCAAAATATCACTCAGGCAGCTCTTGCTCATCAATTCTTTAATGACTTTGTAAGTGCCTTTGATTTGACCAAGGAACTTTGCCCAAGTCTCACTCTTCTGAACCCTAACACTCTTGTTCTGCAGGGGTGTTCCCAACCTTGCTGGCATATGCTTATGACTTGCCTTCCCATTACTTAAACCTTACTCCCATTAGACCTCTGACTTCACATTATGCATTTTAAGGTCCACTGGTGTGGTGTTGCTTTGATGCTAGAAGCCCTGGAAGACCTGCATCAAAGTGGAATGATAATTCCTCATCCAATGATTGCTCTCAGGAGTTTCTTTTAGTCCCACACATCAATTCCAGCCCATATATTTCTCACATTCTCAGTACAAAATAAAATAATAATAATAAAAATAAATAAATAAAGCAGCGGGGCTCAGTACTAGCTTTGAGACTCAGAAAAGTAATAACCACAAAACTGCGTGCACCAGAGCATAACTAAAACACCAGGAGCAACATTCAGCTGCGATGCAACTCTCCTGACTTCAGTCATGTTAGATATGGAAAGCAGGAGTATGTCCCAGAACTCCCTTCCTCCAGTCAGATCCCCAATTTGCATGCAGCTTATATGGTCCCAGATTGAAAATACTTCTCTTCAATTCACTTAAATCAGTATTTCTCTTCATACGTAGCTTTTGGTTTCTTAATCTCATAGGGACTGGCTTTGGAATAACGTCAGTCTAAATGAGCAGGATCCTTTGCATTTTATTGGGTTCTTCTGGGCAAAGCTCCATGACTTCACAGGTGATACTTCTGGTTTTATGATTACTTTTGAGGTAAATCACTAGAAATCAAATCCACCAGAAAAGTTATGTGCAGTTTATGAATACAAGGGGTGGGTCAACCAAGTGCAGAGAAAATTTATCTCAGTAGAACCAAGCTGATGTTTGAGAAAAAATGGTTTCTGCTTCAGCAAAGTAGACCTTTCTGCTCTGTTAGAGACAAGCCTATTCTGCTCTGTGAAGCAGCAGCTTCCATAGAGTACTATGTACAAGATACAATCATGATAAAACACTGAGATTAAAATTAAAAAAAAAAAAAAAGACCAAACCAAACCAATAGACTCAGAGGGAGAAACAGAAAGTCATATTTGATGAAAACAAAAAAATAAAACGAGTGAGCTTTCTCTTTGACATGTAACTAGTAATGATTTCCAGTAGCAGGTAATGGCTGAAAACCCTGCGATACCAGCTGTTACCGCAAATGTCAAAAATTACTGATTTTAGAGGCTCCTTCTTCATTAATAGCACCTGATTACTATATGGATTGAAATTTAGCCCTGCCATTCAAGGGGAAAATTGTCAGTGAGAGTAACAAATTTGTTTTGTTTTCAGAGCAGGGAAGACTCTGTAGAGGAGCGACCACCCACAGGGAGCTGCAATGCAAAGACACCCCGTGGTTCTGAGCCAGGCACCGACGCCCAAGCAGGAGGGCTCCAGTTCATCAATGAGCTGCCCCACAAGTTCACCCTGCTTTGCTGTGAACTAGTGAGAAATGAAGCCACTCCCTGACTCCATCCCCACTGGCCTCAAGCCTGGGACAGAGAAGAACCCAACTCTCCGTATCTCTATCTGCGTTTAAGAGCACCCTGAACTCTTTCACAGCTTAAGGGAATAATGGCTGCGATAACACATTCATGCCCTTGCAACATATGACTCCATCAAGTGAAATGGTTGCGGCCATTCTCAGGAAACAGCAAGAGAGGCCTTCGGAAGACACAGGGACACTTACGAAAAGCAGGAGGCATTTGTTCTCGCGGATGGCCCCGCAGCAGCCGAGGAAGCCCAGCAGAAAGAGCATCGCTCCCATGGCCAGCATGATGTAGGCTCCCGTGAAGAGGAGCGGGTTGGCGGCCACAATCTCTCGGAACCCTGTAGGATCCACAATGACCCAGATCCCGACTCCCAGCAGGCAGGCTCCTCCCAGCTGGCGTGGCGGCGTGAGAGGAGAGAGAGGGAGACAAGTCAACACAAAACAACCGCTGCGGGACAAGTGGGTTCATCAGGACCTCCTGATTGAAGGTGTTCCCTCAGAGCATTTCTGTTTCTCCATGCAATATATCCTCTGCACAGCAGGTGACTGCTGACAGGCTAACCGTTTCAGCGTCTCTCGCGTACTATGTGAAACGTTTGCAGCAAAAGCACCTTTTTTTCTGACACTTCTAATACTGGTGATTCCCCACCTAACCCTGAAAGGCCAACTCTAGAGCTGCTGCTGCATATGCCCAGGAGAACCTGTAACGGGCACAAGGGAAGCCCTCCCACAACAGCAGCCGTGCTGCCCACTCTGGCATCCCTCCTGTCATAAGCAGAAAGGGCAGCAAGAGGTAGGGAGACCACTGTGCTTTCTAGTGAAAGCCTCATCAGGAGGTTTCTCCTCATTAGGAGAGCCAGGACTAGAAACCAAACTTTTACGTCACCAAAGGTAGACTTCTTTCTCCACTCGTTGAAACTTTCTCCCCAGTCTTCCTTTGTGGTGGAGAGGAAACACTCGGACATCCAACAACTACCACTGTGCTGCCTTGCTTAATGCCTGGGCATCTCTGGATGCCAGAAACACCTTAGCGATTGCTGCTGCAATGCTGAGAGTACTTCTGCACCATGGCAAATTTTCCAAGTATAGCATATCCTGTTGGGGTGCAGGATGCTGCTGGAAACAGGAGGAGGATTCAGGACAGAAAGTGGATTCCAAATACTTACAAATATAAAGAAATTGAAAAGAAACATCAGGTACTTCATGCAGCTCAGGCAGTCTCCCTCCATGGTCTCCAGGCTGCTTGATCCAATTATTCCTGCAAAACACCAGCACTGCCTTAGCACACTCGCTTTTTACCTGAGTGACACGGGCCTCTTTCCATCTTATTTTCCCCAGGCCCTGTGCAGTTCATTACTCCAAAGGCTCTTTTCTTACCTGAACAAGGTAATACAGCACAGGCTAATGAGGGGTAATGAGCACTGCAAATTTGAGTTCTCCCCAGACAGTTAGCTCCGTACAAGCCTTCTTCACAGAGCGAAGGCCACACAAACAAGTGCTGTGTTTTCAGGGAGGCTTTTAGACATTTGGAGAAGCTGGACTGGGAATGATGGACACGCGTGAATGGCAAAAGGCCAGAGGAAGGGGACAGTTCTGCAGAAGCAGCTGTGTCTACTGGTGTCCCTCCCACAGCCAGGTTACCCAGACTGCAGCAGAAGACCTTCCTGTCACACAGTATGAGATGTTACTGTACCATCAAAATCCTTTTGCAGGCAGGCCCCATGGATCAAAGTTGATAAGTCTTCCATTCCAGGGAAAAAGCTACGGAATCAAAACTGGTTTTGAAACCCCATGGGTCTGAATTGGATTGAAGATTTCTTACGACAATATTTAGATTGGAAGAGCAGCTAGGAATCCTGACCACAAAGTTTCTTCCCTTAAAAGCTTATTGCTTAATGAAGAGATGATGCTTTCCAACATATGATTATATCATGAAGCACCCTGGAGGGACAGGCGAACAAATACGTAAAACAGAAAAAGTTCCATCGAAAGAAAAGACTTTACTGTCACTGAACCCTGCCCAGGAGGATACACACACACGCAACCGGAGAGGCAGCAAAGCCCAGATGCTTCTTAATCCACTTCTTCCCCCTCCTCCACTGTGCACACCATCCTCAGAAGAGAATTGCATCCAATTACATGCTATCCTGGCAAAGGACATTTGAAAGCAAAACAAACAAACAACAAAACCCATAAATTACCCAAGGTTTTTACCAGGCCAGAAATAAATCCCTGCCTTTCAGTGCCTTGTTGTTCCTATTAATCCGCCAAAGCAGGGAGGCTGTGCAGCCCCGCCAGGTCCTTCCCTCCGTGCCCATGGTAACTGCTCCGCTTCGGCAAAGGGCTGGGAAGGGGCGGATGGGCAGCTCTCGCTGCTGGGGCTGCCCCAGGGGAACAGCCAGATTCACACGGTGCCTTTGGCCTCTGCACTTCAACATGCCTTAAAAATCAAAATCAATCCCCTCCTAGTGGCAAAACAAGCACAGACACGAGTGGCACAATGGAAGTGCCCGTGAGCACGATGGTACACAAATGCAGCTGCTTTCCTTATGGATTGCTTCTAGCCCAGGGCAGGATAGCAGCGTGCCTCTGGCTGGCTGGGTACCCCTAGGAAATCCTCTTTGCTCGAAGAATCCTGCACATATCCCCAAAAACATTTTTACAGTCCACCTACGCTTCTAGAGAATCACTGAGCTGGACCTAAACTCCAGAACTGGGGGCAGTATTTTTCTTTACAAAGCTTATTTTCTTACATCTCTGCTGCACAGCTCTTCCATCTAGGGGAAGTTTAAAGCCCAGCCTGTGAGTGTAGGAGGGGGTGGGACACCAAGGCCTGGTGCAGTCTGGAAGACAGCCACACAGCTCAATATCACACAGGACACTCATAATTCCCTGAGCAGGGTTAAACTATGATGACAAGTCTCAGGGAGATACACTCTGTATTTTAGTCAATTTCTGAAAGTTATTAGAGAGATCTCTAAGTCCTGCTGCTTTAAGTGACCTTCTACGTGATCCACAGTTGAAGTCTTAGATGAAAAAAAGGATAAAAAAGAAAAAAGAAGCCCATTTAACTACATCATGCCAGTCTGCATCATTCACACTCATCTCACTGCAGCGTTATCCATGCTAAGAACATTACCTGTGGTCTAAGAAGCAGCAACTTCTGAACCTAACCCTGTCATGATGCCACTTCGTTTTGTAGAGCTGATAAACCACATTGCCTCCTGACTTTACTTTCCGTAACTGGGTCTACTTCCTGAGCAGGAAGGGCTGGTTTCCTTGGATTTCCATGAGCTGAACTATGGCTTCCTTTTCTTTATGTACACAAACCTACCTAATTACTCTTTCCAAGCACCCACTCGTTAGGTTAAATGTTTCCTAGGTGTGAGCAGGGAGGCAGTCTCTCAAGCTGTTAAACGCTCAGATCCTGCTAACATCAGTGGCAGGACCATGCAGTCAAATAGGGTAACCTGAGAGCAACAAAAACAGCATGTGAGATTTGATGAGCAAAATTTCCTTGGTTTGCCTGAGCCAGAAATCATCCCCAATGGCTGCTGGGCTCATACCTGTACTTTGTAAAAACAACACACAGAGCAAAACAGCAAATAAATGCAATGCAGCTAACTCTGCTATGCTGCAAGACAGGAACACAGCTCCGCTCTTGGGATTTACGAATCCTGGAAGTCCTTCACCTCAGGATGGGTGTGAGTCACCAGCGACACTGCAAGGTCTTGGCTGGCAAATCCACGAGCGCAGCACATCAAGGCTTTCATGTCAAAAGAGCTCAATGCAAAGCTTCAAAAAATGTCAACCCATTCGTCTGATGTGAGAAACCTTAGTGCTGAGCAGCTAGTCGCTCAGTTGTGAAACTTGCAACTTGGAGACACTCATATGCCAGCATAACACACCCCTTCCAGTTTCCAGTAGACAGGTACAGATCTCAAAGCCCTTTGTGGAAGCACAGATCTCTGACTGATTAAAACAGAGCAAATCAACCAAAATCAAGATCTAACTCACTGCACAGTACTTAAAACTATTTTATGCCAGACCCAAGGACTCTAGCGTATAGGAAATACATTACCATCTAGTTCATTTATGCAGTTCCACTGGAGACTTTGAAGCACGTGTAACTAATGCTATTTACAAAGAATGTAAGCAAAACGCAAATAATGTTAGTTACAAATAATGTAATTATTAAACCATCTGTTGCAACTGTTGCCTTACTAATTAGTTCAAGGTGTCTGTACTTACTGATTACAAGCTGGAAGAAAATAATCGATGTCTGAGCCACAGTGCTGCTCTCTTCCTTCCACGTTACTTGCAAGTTATACACACAAAATGTAAAGCTTTGTAAGTCACTCCCACTACGTTCTGACCTGAGACACAATCTGGATTCATGTGTCTTACTCTACTGTATAAAAATATCTTTTCTGCCCTTTTTCAGGCCCCAAATTTGTGACAGATTAAATTCTCTGCAGAAGACATATAATGCTAAGCAAACATTAACAGTCAGAACTATGGAAGACAGCAGCTGACAGATGCTTTCCCTGGCTTGTCCCATCTCAGACCTGTAAGACATATGAGATTTTTTTTTTTCTGAAATATGGCTATAAATGTTCCACTTTTTCTTATACAATTTATTCTACATTTTCTCCCTAGCATGAATATTATCCTACAAAGTAGTGCGGAGTCCAAAAGACCCGAGCAGCATAACCAGAAAACATATCCCAGCTGCTGTAATCAGTTAGGAATAAAGACTTGCTTCCCAAAGCAATATACTCTTTTCTTCTCCAACTGCCCTTTATTTCCTTCCTTCTCACATTTGTTTTTGCATACCCTAAAACTGCCCTGAACTTCACATATCTAAAGGAAACTGCTTAACCACTCCTTGAAAACTGCTTCCACATCTCATTCTGCTCTCACTAACACCTCCCCTTGCCCACATCCCCCTTTGACAGCAGACTAAACCATTGAATTTGTCCTTCATCTTTGCTAAGGAGATGGAATCACAGAAAAGTGAGGTTAGGTGGGACCTCTGCATGTTATGTAGGCCAAATGTCCCCCTCCAAGCAGGGTCCATTTTAATTTTTGATTCAACTTCAAGATTAGATCAGGTTGCAATGGCAATTCAGCTCATGTTCAGTCAAATGTTGAGTATCTCCAAGGACTCAAGACTCTATAGTTTCTCTGAGTATGTTCCGCATTGAACAGTCTCTGGTTCGTCCAAATTATCTTCTTGCAAAAGGACCAGCAGGACCCCTCAGATCTGCTCATTTATCAGAACTCTCAAGGAGCGTGTTATCAACACCAACCTCAAGCATTTAATCTTCAGTATCAAACCACTGCTGTCCTCCATGGAAAATGACCGTGTGACCTGTTCTCCTTACCTACCATTCTAGACACGCAATCCTCACCCTTCAATACACTTCTGTCAATTATTCCTATTTCACTGCACAAAATTCAGACACTGTGGTCTCACTGTATGGCTCATAAGAATCTTTGATACATCATAAAAACAACAGTATAACTAAAACTGAAAGAAATGGGAATAGACCTCCAATCCTCACTCGAACCACTTCTGCTACTTACCCTCTACCACAATGTCCTCATCACCTCTTCTAATATAAAAATTCTTTGCCTTCTTCACCTGTGAAGACTTGTCCACCTATTTGATCCACTGCTTTCTTTAAAACCTGGAGGCCGGTTCTACTGCATCTCCCACACATATTAGCTAATGGCTTGAGGAGCAAATCAGACCAACTCACACCTGCTTTCACATCACATACAATGCAACCAAGTAACAGCAGAAGCAGTATTCTTAGCTCTCCAGAAACAAGCCAGATGCTAAAGGAAATTATAAAATGTGGTTTGGGTTCTCTTTGGACAAATGTAATTAGGAGAGTGAGGAGCCATCCTTCATTGGCACAACTTGCTGCAGAACACCTTCTAGGTCGTAAGACAGCAGATGAGCTCCTGCACACCAAAGCTACATCCAACCAGCCCCGACAAAGATACAGAAAAAGCCTTTGGGATGCGGAGAGCAAGATTTGTAAACAAGATTCACCTTTACAAGTCCAGGACTTGAAGTCCAGTATCTTTTCTGATCTTTAATGGCCCGTGTGTCCCATGAATCTCCTCGTAGTCAAGCTTGTCCTGTAAGAGAAAAATATGCAATTACTGCAGAAGACAATTAAATACAATAATATTAAACACACAATTTATTAAAAAGCACAATCCTAGTAAATATTCTCCATCTAATTGGTATCTTAATTTAGCATACATTAGCACTAATGAAAACCTTTTAATACCAAGTGATGGATCTGATTCCTGAGAATCTCTTTAGCAACCTTTGGGGTGTTTTAAATGCCCACAGACCACATGTAAAACTAAAGTTCCATTACATATGCACATCACACCACAACAGTACTAGATTAATAACAGCTGCACCTTCAATATTTTATGGGAGGGTTAGACAAACTTTAATCTGCTGTGACTTTACAGCCCATTTACTAGGAAAATGAAAAAGGCAGAGGAACAGAGATGGACTGTGTGCTTGGGAAGCACAGCCCAGCCATAAAGAGTGATGGCTTGAGGATAGAGGTCTCTATTCCTCATCCTTCTGGCCATCTATCATGCAGAGCTGAGCAAACTGTTTCCTCTCCCTGTACCTCATTTTCACCATGTGGAAAACACGCATGGAGGCACACTGAAGCTGCAGTATCGCCTGCTCTCGGCCTCTCGAGCAAAAAGCATTAGCTAAGCCAGTGAGCGACAGACTGACACCACCACAATTATCTCAATAAATATATCCTTTTAATTTCTCCTTGCACAATGAACAACCATCTTCTGCAAGACAAAGGTAAGGTGGGACTACGTATTAGCATGGAAAGCGTGCTTGTGTGGCTGTTGTCCTGGCACCTTCTTGGTTGTCTTTCTTCACCTGGCTGCTACAGTCTCAAGCATGTATTTCAAGGCCTGTGGGGAAGGGGTAGCCTTTAACTATCCCAATAGCCTCTCATGCTAAAGGGGTCCAATATGCAAGCAGGGTTGCTAAGCACCATAGGTAAATAATTCATCCTTCCCAAATTATTTTGGAATAGTCACAGCTATTCTGAATCCATTGCTTAGCTGTGAGCAATCAGATAAGTCACCTGGGTCTATTCCTGCTCCCTCACTGAATGAGTGTGCCAAAATTTCAGCATGATTTCTGGAGCGGGTGCATTTAACATCTGTTTCCCACAAACATTTGTGAACGTGCCTTTGAAAATTGCCTCCCATTAAGACTTCTGTGAATAAGTCTATCGTTTGTTGTTGGCAGGAAGCGAACAAAGAGTTTCAAGGTGGCTGAAACTAGCACAATATAAAACATTTAATGAATATTCATAGACTTTTTTGGTTTGTTTTGCATTAATCCTTCAAATACAATGTCCTTCTTCTGTCACTGGCTGCCTTTTGCACCTAGTCTCTGAATGATGAGCGGGAATGGCATCAATTTTGCAGTCCGGAGCCTGCAAACTTCCTGAGATTGCCCCATCTCTGCTGCAAAGGTATCTGCACAGCAGCTGTTGAACTGCTCCATTTTACAGCCCTGTGCATGAAGACAGGCCCAAATCAGTAGAGTTTCATTATCAAGTTCAGGGTGGTAAGTGCAAATGTTCAGAAGCTGCTACATGAGCAGATAAGCCACTGCTGCAGGAGGTGGAGGCCTCTCCAGGAGAGGGGCTCGGAGCCAACTCAGCGGGGACAAGAATAGCTGTGAGCATCTCAGGGCAAAAATTCTGCCTGTCCAGCCAGGCAGAATCTGCTGCCCATCCTTATGATTTCTTCTTTATCTCTCTCTTTTTTTTTTTTTTTTTTTTTTTTTTTTTTTTTTTTTTTTTAAGGGTACAAGTGGGAGGGAGTAGGAACACTTCATCCTGGGTCTGCGACACCTTTACCCAGGGACAACAGCTGCCTGGAGAAGAAGATGGCTCTGACTTTCAGAGCGGAGATGACACTTTGCTGCATAAACCTATCATTAGGAAAATAACCAGAATGATAGGATTCCTACTGTGTGTGCATATAATTGCACCTCGACAAACCTTCAAAAGTCTGCGTGGGGGAGGAATTTTATTTTTGTATTCCTCCTTAGTCACAATATTTTAAAGAAATTATAGCAGGAGAGGGGAAAAACTTAAATGCTTCAGCGGGTACCAGCAGGTGCTGTGTCAGAAGGGCTGAAAGGAAAGTGCGTTTGCTGCCAAACAGCAGCAATTCTCTGGCTTGCTCTGTGGCCCTGAAGGGGAGCAAGTCCCTGCCAAACAGACGCTCTTTGGCTAATAGCTGCGATTTTGTCATTAGGGGGAACTGCAGAAAGTGCAAAACCACAGTGCCTAATTGGGCCTGGAGCAGGCTGACGCCTTTAATTACAGTCGCTGGGGCAGCGCAGGGGAAGCCGGAGCCGCGGCCAAGCTCCCTCCCGGGGCCCGGCGCTTCCCGGGACACTGTTTTCCTGCTTTCACTGCTTTCCAAGTAGCCCTTTATGGGGAGTGGGCCCTGATGGAGCAAAAACACACCCTAAACCCACACGGTCTGCCAGGGAGGAGCTGGAGAGAGGGATCACGCACCCGCCGGGAGGCCCGTGGCTTGGTGGGGATGGGTGAGGAGAAGTGTCTCTGTGGAAGCAGCCTCGCTTAATCCCATTGCCTTGCAAAGGCTTCAGGAAAAGATAAGCCATGAGCTATTTCGGAAGAGGAGCTCAACACAATCTCTTAGTCCCGTGCATTATCCAGCAACTACTACAGCTTCTCCACACATAGCTAAGTGCGCTGGCACCTCCCGGGGCTTACGCTGCCCAGCCACTGCTGTGCCACGGCCACGGCACTGCATGCAGATCCAATTAGGTGCCCAAGGGCACCGTGCAGCTGTAATGGGTCCCTGGGGAGAAGCCATGAGGGCACCTGCACAAGGACATGGAGCGAGATACTAAATTACAGTCAATCTACCTCCTCTTTAGCTGCATTAAGGCCCATTTACCAGCGATGACTGCCTTGCCTTGCAACACTGGAGGGAGGGAGCTTGTTGCGCTGCCCAAGAGCACTTAATGCCCCAGCGCAGGTGAACGAGCACGGCCCTTAAGAGCACCTAACACCTTAAAGCAATAGCAAGATGGCTTTTATAATACTAAAGTCATTGTTTGAAATAATCTGAGCTGCTGCTGAAACCATCCAAGCTTTCTATCTGAGCAGAGCACCCTGGACAAGGTAAAGTCTCATACACATGCACAAGCATTAAAAATCCCAAGGCAGAAGCTGCTTTCCCAAATGTTTGAACATTTGTAAAAAGTGCTAGTGTACAAGTGTGAAGTGATGGTATAGCATGAGGGCACAAATCATTCCTTTTCAGCTAGCACGAACGTGCATACAGCACCGTATGAAACATCAACTGCTCACTTTGGCTCCATTCCAAGCAAAGTGCAACAGACAATCCTATCTGGTTCTTGCACACAGCTTCCCACATACCAATATCAGCCACCTCGGAAAACAAAAATTAACAACACACCCGATAGCCCTAAATTCTGTTCCTTAAAATAAATCCTCAGATTACTCATAGGTCATTTTTCTCCTGCATTACTGGCAGCACAGCAACAGTATTACGGTACCAATTACCTTTCTTTCCAAGTAGATGTGAACAGACTTAATTTTATTTATTTTATTTCCAGTTCATATAACGTTTAACAGATAGAAAAGTGAGGCTGAAAGGGGAATGGATACGCTAGGAGTCCTGGCAACAGAGCAGCACTCTATTCACCGGCTGACACCTAGATCAGTTCCACAGACATGTAAAAGTTGATTATTTCTGGCTTGACAAGTTATGCTCTTTGAAAAGCATCTTTTACCAAGAAATAAGCATTATTTAGCATGCCTAAGGCAAGCAAATAACGTTGGCATCCTGTGTCTCAGAATACATCTTCTTCAAGATTGAATAAGCAGCAACTCCAGAAGCATCACAAGCCAAGAGATGTTACTGGCACATCAGATACTGCCAAGTGTTAAAACGCTCCATACACTTTCATGGCACTCCAAAAGCCTAGGGCATTTAACCCAGATGGTAAAGGTCTGCCACGTTTTCCCTTAGCCTGACACATCTCACCTTTCCAGCAAAAGATTCCTTGGTGCTTTTTCTATCCTCTTTTCTATCCTCTTGCTTCATTTGCAGCCAATGCCTCAGTGGTTTGTGGCATTCCACACTGCTTTGAAAGATGCAGGAACACATGTTGGAAACCACTGGGCATTTGCTGGGGCTACCTGCTTCTCCACAGACCATGATCTTAAATATTTTAAGTTCCTTAAGACTTTGCGAGCTTGAAGGAAACTATACAGAAGAGGGAAATGATTGAATTTAAAGCAAGGAGGCAATCAGAATGGATTGCTGTGAGCCCCAGGGCCTTATCCCACCACAAAGATGATGATTATCCCTCCTCAGGAGCCCCAAAGCAGCTGGGCAGGGGTATGGGCAAGGGCAAGGATAGGGAATTTGGCATCCCCTGCTTTTATCATTTGCTTTAATGCAGGACAGGGCTCCAGATCAGCAGGTTAACCTCCCTTTCTTGTTGTTTTCAGTATTTTTCATGAGAAGGAGGTGGAAACCTCCCCTCCCCCAACACCTCTTAACACCATTTAATTAGAGGACTAATAATCTTAATAGTTTTTAAGAAAGAAATCTTGAACTCTAAATACACTGTTTTACTATAAAAATGAAAAATAAACTGTTCTGCCTGCACAGAAGTAATTTTAAAACAGCTCAGAAAAGGCTTGGAAAAACCTAGTTAAGAGTAGCACATCTTAAAATGAGGATCTCAGAAATTCTAAACCTACAAGTACCTTGCGGGAAATCTGAGAGATGGTGTTATTTATCTGATTCTGCTTATCTTTTAAGTCTTATTAACAAGAAGAATAATACAACCCAAAGGGCCCTGGATGCCATTTGCAATAGGAAATTCCTTATCTCGCAGAGCTCACGATTCAGAGGTAAGGCAAAACTCGATAAACGTGAAGTGAACAAACAAGGCAGGCAACAGAAAGCATCTAAAGCACCTCTGTAGGCAAACAAAGGGAAGGAAAGTATACACAGGCAGGATATGCAGTTACAGAATTTTACACCAATGTAGGTCA